CAAACTGAACTGAGGCATACATTTTTGTGTTGCTGCTTAAATATAATTAGGAAAGGCAGAAGGGAGGGGAGAAAGAGAGAACTAAATTTCAACGTGAGAGAATTAATTATCTCTGCAGCCAATCAGCGCTCTATTTTCCAAGAATTTGCTTAGTTTTTCTTGGAATTGCTTATGATGCTTCTAGTTCCTTTTGGCAAGAAATTGCTTTTCACTGCTATTTTTTTGTTAGTTTTCCCCTTGTCTTTCTTGATTCAAAGTCGGTGGATATCGAGAAATTTGCAAGAAATGTGAGAGAACATTATTAAGTATCTGTTTCAGGGAGATGGTGGCAGTCCCTTTGTTTGTAAAGTAGGAATTTTATCTGATAATCGTTACGTTCAAATAGGTAGTAGGTGTTTGTTGAGGAATTGATTGTCGCAATGCTGTTCCATCCGTTTATACTAACATTGCACTCTTTCTAGATTGGATTGATCAAAACGTTCAACAACATCGAATTTTATACATTTCGAATTTGATAGATCAAGTTGTATTGAAAATAGATACATAAAATATAACGGCAATTTAAATTTTAAATTTAATCAGGGAAGCCAAAAACACAAAATATCGCATGAGTGTTGCCAACGTTTTATTCCGCTCGGAACATAATTTTTGGCCGACAAGCCTTCATTAATTTGGATTTTTAACAAGTTTCTCCCATTTGAAATAAGTTGAATATAGTGAATTATTAAAGAGAAAATAAAATTTTTTGAGTCTGAAGTAAAAGCAAACAAGGAAAGTGTGAATTGGAAGGGTTTTAAGTGAAAAAGAAGTCTACGCGAGGTTCGCGAATAAAAATGGCAAATCGGTAAGTTTTATGTCATTTTACGAAAAATATCGGTGTTAAATATAAGAATTAAATGAATCGTGCACAAATACTTACAAACTTCCATCGTTTTGCAATAAAGTCGCCTGGTTTTTCCATCAATGAGGATATTTTTATTTTTTCATCACTCTTATAAAGCATCGCTTTCCATGCTTCAATTTTTTTCTTCTTATTCTTTTTTTTGTATTTATCGGCTTCACATAATAACATCCAACGCGGTTATACTTTATGCACCTATGTATGCATTTTATTTATTTATTTTAACTTTGAACTTTTTCTAGGTTTGACAATCAACAGCGCAAGAAGCCATTGCCTACCGAGCCACCGTATCTGGCATTCGTCGGGAACTTACCCCAGGGAGTTGTTCAAGCCGATGTTGTTCAGATCTTTAGCGAGTTGACGGTGAAGAACGTGCGATTGGTGAAGGACAAAGAAACGGATCAATTTAAGGGATTCTGCTATGTAGAGTTTGAAACACTTGAGCAACTAGAAAAAGCTGTTAACTTTGATGGCCGAATCGTATTGGACAGTAATCCACAACCGCTAAGGATCGATATTGCAGAGCAGAAGAAAAACGATCGGTATGTTTCTTAATCTCATTCGTTATAAATATTTAGGGATCAAAGTTTAATTGTCATGTTTTCAGTAGTTTTAACAACCGTCGTGGTGGACAGATAGGTGGAGGAGGTCAAAACATGCGTGGACGTAATAATTACAATGGTAAGTTTTCCTTCTTAATGGTTTATAGGACTGAAATGTTAACATTTTATTTGTTGTAGATCGTGGTGGGCCGAGTACTCGAGGAAACTACAGTAATGATAGTAACTATCGAAGAAATGATAACTACGATGGACAAAACATGAGAGGAGGTCGTAACAATTTTAATGGTTTGATATTATCTATTCAAACTTCACTTGAGATTCCAATAAATAACAATTTTATTAATTTAGATCGCGGTGGAGGAAACCGTGGACGCTACGGCAACTTCAACGATGATCACAATCGTGATGATGGCAGATTCGGTGGTGGACGACAACATTATGGACATCAAAATCGCGGAGAAGGAAATCATTATGGGACGCGTGATGATAGATACAATAACTATGGTGGTGGGAATCGTGGCTCTCACAGCAGAGGTGGGGGAGCCGGTGGCTTTGAACAAGAGCGAAGAACGAGCGAAAGCATGTCACAGCTTTCGCTTGAAGGTGAATTTTAGTTTATTCTGCTTTCAATTCTTGAAATTATAATATTTTCTTCATTTATGTTTTAAGATCGGGACGCTGGTCGACCAAAGTTGAACTTGGCTCCTCGCACAGTCAAGGATCCGGTTAACGCTCTCGCTGAAACTAGGCAAGCTGCTGCCATTTTTGGGCAAGCAAAGCCGCGCGAAGAAAAAATCAAAGACGAGGAGGGAACAGTTGAAAAGGCTGAATCTTAAATGACTTTCTTCGTCGCATCAGCTAAATTATGCTGAGTTGTCTACAAAAAGAAAAATAATTGCGTTTTGATTTAATTTAGCAAACCATCGTGGTAATTAACTTTATTATTTTCGTCATATGTCGAGTTCTGTATCGAGCAATGTTCGTTGTTTTCAACGATCATCAACTCATCCGCGATCATCCCTCAAATGAAACTGAAGAAACTTTGTGTAGCTTTTAAGACGATGTAACTGTTTGTGACAGTTTCTTTTTCCTTTCTTTTTTTTTCTTATATTTTCCGCCCTTTTTAAAGTTTTTTTTAATAGTTATTTTCTTCTCAACATACAAAACCACATAATTCTTTATAATTATTATAATTATTATTTTTATTGTAATCTTTGAAACAAGATTTATATCGCAATGGCATTTTTCGTGTTCTCTAAGAGATGCCATGGAAATTATTCTAACTTAAATATGCTTTTTTTTCATGCCACAATGAAACACATAATGGAGAAAATATGAGAAATAAAAGTAATCTTTTAAGGTCAGTTTAGCAAGCGAATCACTATCGATCTCAATGATATGACAATTTAAGTCATTGAAAGGAGACGAGATGTTGAAAGAACTTATTTTTGAAATGACTTCATTAAGTAACATTGTATATAGTCGTCGAAAGAAAAAGAAAGATGATTATTAGTAATGGCATATAAAGAAATTTACAATTTCATAAATAAAGATGTACGGTGTTGATGCTTGTTCTTATCATGGTCCCATCGTAACAACACCATCTCTTTATAAATAATAAATATTGACGAATTAAAGAAAACTTTCTTCCTTTTTTCACATCATTAAGAACATTCATCGTTTCTTTTCCTTTTTTTGTTTCACTCTCTATCAAAATCAAAGTAAATATGTTTCATTTTGTTGGATATTCAATTATAAGTGTAGAAGGAAAACAAAAAGAAAAGAAAATTTGATGGACTTTAGTTTAAATAATGGAAAATTTGTCTATTTGAAAAGGAGAAAAACAAAACACAAAATAACAAAAGAAAAATGAGAAACATTAAAAATATTTGTAGTGTACAAAAAGCAAAAAGTCCCAAAACATTATTAAGCAAACATACATACACACATACATACACAAAAAGTGGATTTAATTAATTTAATATTGAAAGAAGAAAAAACTGATAAAACTCTTAATCTTAATAAAGAAATGATAAAATTCATAAAAAAATTGTTTTTCTTCAGGATGCTTTCAAAATGCTACGAGTTGCAGGAATTTCACTACTCGTATAAAAAATTAAGTAGCGGATAGAATTTTGAGTAGCGATCAGAAATCGTCTAAATCTAAAATTAGCGACTTACGTGTAATGTGAAAATTAAGATTCACCTAAACTCATGTCATCTCTGAAAAATGTAATTAAATCAATGTCTTAAGATTTCATGATTTTTTTATGTCTAAGATAATGGAACTTTATTCTTTATCATCTTATTTTTTCCTTCGAGCATTATCGTACACTCACAAAACTCATGTGAAAAAAATCATCAGTTTTTATCCATCAGACGCTTAAACTTAAAAAATTATATCTAAAAAAACAAATGAGGTCAACATATGAAGTCTCTTGGGAGAAGAATTATTAAATAAATAAAAGTTTCTTTTCAGACTGGATGATGTTGAAGAAAAGACTTATCTGTGTTGGACACAGTAAGTAAAATTAAAAGTTGAAGATCGAGAGAAGAAACTAAGCGAAAAAATTAAAATGAAGCTGCAGTATGAATGAACGTCTTTATCTTACATTATCTATCGTTTCTCAAAAGATTCGTCCTTTTTTTTTGTTTAAAATTTCAAACGCACAAGAATAAGAAGAATGTTTAAAAATTGCGGAACCTGAATAAACATTTGACAACGATGGGTCAAGAGATAGTTGTTTCTTCGTCTATAATTAAGATCAAAATATCAATAAAGTTTTTCCTTCTTCCAATTGTGTATCGTTGGGATGTAATCAGCATAATCATCAATAGTTTAGTTAAAGTAAATTTGCTGCGGTGTGTTCGGTTGATGATAAACAGCTTTGATATTTTGCGGATGCATTCCAGTATTAGTGTTGTTAAACATTTGTTGCATAGCTGATAGCATCGGTTGATCAATATATGATGCAGTTGGAATCATTTTGTCATCAACTGCTGTAGCTCCATTTAAAATGTTTCCATTCTTTTGACCCATCATTCGATTTGCTTGCTCAATTATCATTCTTGTGTCTTCAACCGATTTATCAGTAGCATTATGAGACCCGAAACTGTTGTTGCTTGCATAGTTAGGACGACCGGTTGAAGGAATGGAACCAGAATGAATGTTAGGATTAATAATCGTCTGATATTGTTGCTGATGATGATGTGACGGTTGATGATTACCTATGAGAAGATTAAAATTGAAATTTAGATTTCCTACTTGTTTATCTTCTCTTAAATATTGAACCAAAACATATAAAAATCCTCATGAGCTACACCAAGATGAAACAACTCATGCTTCGCTAATGCTTACAAATTATAATTACCGATTGTCATGAAATTTTGATTTGGATTCATTATTGTCTGAGAATCGAGAGCGACTTCGCCGAGACCGTTTACACTGATACCATTCAGGAGATTGACAGCTGAAAAGTGGGAAGCGTTTCGCAATTTGGAATTAAACAATCATAAGAAATGGTGGAATTACCCATCCTCACCTCGCGTTCCTTGAGTATCGACCTGTGTCCAGTACATCTCAGATGGACTCTGATTGCTTGTGCCTGGTGGTGGAACTACAGCTGCGCCTGTATAGCGGAAGTAGGGATTCTTCAAGTCTAATGTATTGTACGACGAGATGCTCGTTCCTTCAAGAGTCAATTCGATTGTCACATCATAACTTTGTCTATAAATATTTTTGTTTAATTAAATAAATTAACATTTTAAGATTTACCACAAAATAATTGTTTACCTTTTGTTTGCAACAAGCAAAACACGTCCAGTTAATGTTTGACCTTGTTTCACAAACAAAGGACTTTGAAGTAAACAACGCACTTGATACCTGAAGAAATAAAACAAGTTAAACTGAAAGGAAATTAACAATTATGAGAGAAACTCACCAATGTGTCAGCGGCTCAGTTGGACTTGTTGAAAGCCAAACACTTGATGTACTGCCACAAAATTCAACATCAAACCAAAATGCCAACCCATGACATGTTCCAGTCTCCATCATTTGAAACTCTAAAGGAATCTCTGAAAAGAAAAGAAAAATAATGTAAGAGGAAATTAAGAAAAAATTTCTTACTCACCAATTCTATGTAAATCTTCTTCATCTGCTTTTAAAAAGTCAACAACATGACGAATTGATTTTGCTTGACATATTCTTATGTCGAAAGTGTCCACAATTGGTTGTCGGAAGTATTCTTTCATAGCAGCATCGCGCAGAGAGCTAAGATCAACATTGTGAAAGCTTGTCTGATACCAGAAGTTTGCTTTGTTGTACTGCTCCATGTAGAGTGCTTCATCACAAAAAGGTGCCACGTGAAGATCACCACGAGAAGGGAACATTTTTCCGTGCGGCTTAAGCCATTTTTTAGCATGAAGATAAGTCTCCAACATTCGCTCATTATAAAGCATGTAGCCCATAGGTTCTGAAATTATTATGTCAACTTTCTCAGGCAAATCAATCTCTTCAATTTTTCCAGCTATGACAGTTATGCGATCATTCAAATTGTTTGCTGCCACCAACTGCTGAGCGTACTGTGCCATGTTGCTCGCCTCTACAGCGTAAACCTTTCTTGCTCCAGCTTGAGCTGCAAAAAATGAAAGAATTCCACTGCCAGCACCAACATCTAACACAATTTTATCGTTGAAGTCATTGAAGTTTCCATTTATTGCTTTCTGATATGTGCTCGTACGCACAAAGTCCTGCATCATATTCTGCTGTTGACTCAAGTAGCCGTAAAATTGAAAGTATTGATTAGCTGAAGAGTCTTCCGTTCGCATAATAAATACTGAGTTATTGACATTTTGAACCTTTTTAAGAATCTCATCAAACTGTTTATCGAATTCGGGTGACGCTAATTTAAGAAACACGATATCATCGATTGTGTGTATAATGTGGAGGTCTTTATTTTTCTTCCATGTAGTCTGCTTGGTCACCAGCATCTCTAACTCAATATATCCTTCGCTGTGTCCATTTGTAATATTTTTATCTGATTCTATGAAACATTGAAGAAAAATTTTACATTAAAAATTGATTTGCGAAAATTCCCCGGGACACAAAAGAGCGAAAGACAAAGAAATGTCTGGAAATTCACTTTATTCCCATTAATTGTGAAAACTTACCTCGAGCAAACTTTATAACTACTCCTTCGGGATCATAGCAGCAAATAACATTAATTCCGCTTTGAAATGAGCGTTCATTCAAGTTATTATCAACTGAAATAATCTTTAAAAATTTTGCTTGAAATTTGGACGAGTTTGACATTTTTGAAAAGCTTTTTGTTTTCAAAAACAAGCCGGTGCTCTTATAAATGGGTTAAAAGGGACTTAAACAAAGTGGAGATCGTTGTAGTTAACTTATTTTAAATAGCTTTATTACTCTTTAATTATCACGCTAAAATAAATTTTCAAAGTTATGAGACTGGCCGTAAAAATCAAGCGTTTACAAACGCTTCCCCTAAGTTAGTTTCAGGTGGAGAGTGTACAATTATAGGGTGTGCGACTATGCAATGTTTACATCAAGTTGGCGCTATTTATAAAAGAAAAATTCCAAAAGAATTTATAAAATAAAGTTTAAAAGCAATATTATATAATTTATAATTAAAAAAAGATGCATGATGAGAGTGAGATTGATTTATATGAAGGCTTAGATGATGAGCTTTTGAGTCACCCAAAAGAAGAAACTTGCAGCAAAAAATATTTAGAGCAAATTAAAGTTGAGCTTGAGAAAGAATATAAAGAGAAATTTGAGGTTTTAGAAAAGGAAAACGAAAATTTAAGGACATCTAATAAGAGACTCAATATTAATATGTCAATACTTTTAGAAACGTCAAGAGCTGAGGTTGGCAGGTAAATAAGATTTTCAACATTTCAATTCTTTAACATTTTATAATTATGAAATTATTTTTTAGAAAAGATCAACAAATTGCTGACCTCAGACGTCAACTGGATGAACTTATCTTTAGAAAAAAAGCACCTGGAAAGGTTAAAACATCTGTGAAGTTCACTCAAACTGAAGTTCTTCACTGGACTGCTCAGAATGAAACTGAGGCGAAAATTGACAAAGATAGAAATTTCCGTCAAAACAATAATTGGAACAACAGTCATGGGGGAAAATACGAAAAGTTGCCTCATTCGGAACAGCGAATAAAACTTGATACAAAACGCGATGCTGATAAATATAGAAATCGATCACGAAGCTCTGAATTTTATAGAAATTCTCGGGATAGATCGAAAAGTAGAACAAAAGAACAGAAAAATTATGAATCTAAGAATCGGAAAAATGATTCCAAAAGTTCTCATAAAAGACATCGAAGTCGTTCTCCTGCAAGTCATAGAGAAATAGAATCAAAACACATCAAACGTCATAAGACAAGCGAATCAACTTCAAATAGACAAAAAGATCGAAATAGTAAAATACTGGAAAATGTCACGACCAGTACAGATCTAAGACATGTAATATTGAAGAAAAAAGAATTAAATAATTTTAGAGCAGTTATTGAAAAAGTGTCTATAAGTAACGATAACGCTTCTGTTAAAAGTTCCGGCATGGAAACTTCAGAGGTGTCAATAATTCCAGATATTTCTAAGTCTTCTGAAGAGCTAATAAATGCGAACAAAAATATTCAAAAAGAGATTTCAGTGCCAATTAAAGCATGTGAAGATAAAAAGTTAGAAAATATATTGACCGAGGGCAAAGAACTATCTGAGAATCAAAAAGAAAGTCAATTGTGTATGACAGTAACATCTTTGAGTGTACCAACAACATCGCTTGTTGAACCAACTCAAGACAAGACAGAGACGTTATCGGAATCATCTGTCAACTCAAGTGAAAATAAAACCGAAGAAATTGTTGAAACTGTTAAAGTTCCATCCCCAACAGAATCACTCATGATAAGTGAGGAAGTTGTTAAGAATTTAAAAAGTTTGTTACCAAAAATATCTCCCGAAAGAAAAGTAGAGAACGAAAGCAAGTCATTAATTGAGCCAATAAAATCTACGAGTGCTCTGAAGGAACTAGAAATTAAATCACCTCAAGACACAGCAAAGAAAATATCAGAGACTGCACAGAACTTAAATGCAGGGAAAACTGAAGAAAAAGTGGAAATTTTGTGTACAAAAAAGAAGCACAAGAAAAAAGTGAAAAATCATTTAGATGATGAGAAAAAATCATCAAGTGAACCAAATTCATCTTCAAATGTTTTGGAATCGCCAGCAGTTATTCCAGATCAAAAGGAAGTATCTAAATTTGCAGTCAACATAAATGAAAATGAAACCAACAAAGTTGTTAAAGTTTTGTCACCAAAAAAATCACCCAAGAAGAAAGCAAAGAAACAATTGAACGAAGAAAACCAAACTGATGATGGAACAATTTCCAAACCAATTGACATTGTGAAGCATTCAGAACTTCCATCGAGCATGTCACGAAAAGAGAAAAATGTTGAACATCAAATCGCTGATACAGCTGAAACTAAAATTTCAAACTCTTCAATGAAGAAAGTTGACAATGAAGCTAAAACAGACGAATCAACAATTCTTCCTCTATCTAGTGAAGAGTCATTCAAGACATCTGTTAAAGTGATGGAAACTTGTGTCGTGACTGAAGAAGTTGTGATTGAAACCTCCGATTTCAATTTAAATGAATGTTCAGCAATGAAAGATTCTGAAGAAATTAAATTCAATGAATCGTTAAATTCATCTCGCGAATCGAAAGAAAATTCCATCAACTTGTCTCAAACTAATGTCAAGAAAAGCAAACATAAACGTCGAAGCTATCAAAAGGAAGTGACTGAAGATGGAACATGCATTGTCACAATCTCTCGACCATTGAAAAGAAAGAAAAAAGATAAAATTGTGAAGTAGATTAATAACAATGAATCCATTTAATGTAAATTCATATTTTATTTTTTCTTAATAAAATGAAATGATTTGTTAATAATTTTATACAAAATTTATTCAAGCATTACTTCTGGAATATTTGAAAAGTTGAAATTTCCATTGTAACCTTTTGATGCAATGTCAAATCGTATTTGTTTCCTCATTTTTTTCTCTTTTTTGCTTGAGTTCTTTTTTCTTTTCAGTGCATTGCTGACATCTTTCTTATCGCCTACACCATTCGTTCCATTGTGCATTTCAACCTTCTTTGATACGACATTCAAATTCGCATCTGCTTCTATGTTGTCATTTGGCACAAAAGTAATTTTTACCACATTACAAAACGATTTGTAAGTGCTGAGAATGTTTGGTTTCAACAGAAGTTTTTTTCGATAACATTGAATTGCCTCAATAAGTTCAGATTTCACTGAAAATTGTTTATGATTGCGAAGAGTGAGGATCAATTGAATTAATTCCAAAAATTCTGGTTGAGGGACTTCTTGCACTTCATTCACATAATTCTTGAGATTTTCGCACACTTTCTCACAATATTTTGTTGCATACTTTTCGTTTTGTGTCAGCAGATGATGATTTTTGAAGAAAGTCTTCAACATTTGCATTGACTGCGTTCGTCGAAGTGAGCGAACAGTTGACTTGAGACCTTCATCGGAAATAAACTTTGCCATCTTAAAGTTTCCAGTCCATTGTGTTGCAAGAATTTTATTGAAGCTGTTAAGTTGAAGGGTTGGATTTCGATGCGTGAAAAACTCTCTCAGATGTTCCAACATAATCCGTAAAACTTCGTCTTCCCCTGGTGTCAATTTCTGAAGAATCTGCGAACAGTTAATAATGAAAATGCAAGCACGAGCAAAATGATTAAGCTGTTGAATATTCGTCTTCTCTTTCACTGTCTTGTTTAACATATCTGTAAGAGTATCAGCAAGATGTTTCGATGTGACATTCGCGACGGTCTCTAAGCTGAATGATTTAAGTTGAGCAAGTTGAATGAAGACGCCATCAAATCTTGGCAGAAGTGGACTCTGTTTTTCATTCTTTATTGCAATTGGCATAAGATCATAAAAGAAAATCAACGTCTCTAAACATATCTCCATTTGCGGGTTGTTCTTCAAATAAATTTCAACCAAATCTAAAGCTCGCATACGAAAATGAAGCAAAGATTTTTCAGCAATTTTATCCTTCTTTGTTTTCTTTGATTTTCGATTTTGTCTCAATAACTTAAAAGCATTTGCCAGAGCGATGTCCAATTTTTCTCCTTCAGCTTCATCCATATCATCCAAATCAATGTCATCATCGTCTTTGTCGCCAGCATTAGCAAGAGCATTTTGCACTGCAATTCTCACAGTGTCATTGATGGTTTCTGGCTCATCATCTTTATCTTCTTCTTCATCCATTTCTATGTCAGAATCTTCTTCATTTTCCTCACCGTTTTCGATGATTTCATCCTCGTCGTCTTCATCTTCATCTTCCTCATCGTTTTCGTCTTCGTCTTCGTCCTCATCATCAGAATCTTCTTCATTTGTATTCACTTCCAATGGATTATCTTTATTATTTAAATCAAGCAATGAAAGTATTTGATGAAAAGCAGATGTGGTCATTTGACTGCAGAGTTGAGGAAACACATGACCAATGACATTTCGTAAAACTTGTGATTCTTGCGATAATAAAGTGAGAAAAAGATCAATCACAACTTCAATCCATTCTGGTTCGTTTTCATTGTTGTTTTTCTTTTGTAAAGCGCGTTTTGTGACAGCTTCCAGTTCAGTTATTGCATTTGCTGCAAGAAGACTTTGATTGAACATTTGAAAACCCATGTGAAGCATGAGGACTTGGAAAACTGTTTTCAATTTTTTATCTTTGTTGTTTTCAGATTTTTTTGTGACGTCGGCGTACATTTTCTTCCATATTTCAACATGTTTCTCTTCCAAAGGCTTCTGCAGATAACTGTTGTGATCTTTCTTTTTTAAAATGTTATAAACATGCTCAGCAACACCCAATAAAACGGATTTGTCATCATCAAGTTTCGACAAGTTTGATTCTAAGCAATGGAAGAAAATATTTTTGATATTTGTTGCATTTGTAGAAACATCTTCGTCACTCAAAGACAATTGAAGTCCATCAGAAGATTTGAATATGGCCAAGTTAAGCAGAAATTTCAATTGTTTGATGCGCCATTCAATGTCACTTGAAACCAATTTATTATGTGTTATGATTTTCTGAAGAATTGTCACGGCGTATTGTCGTTCACGATCATTTTTGTCACTCACGACAACTTCCTTCAACTCATTTACAATCTCTAACAACTCTTGAATCTCTAGAGAGTTAATTAAGTTTGTAATGAACTTTTTCTTCGAATTCTTTTCAAGCGTGAGCGAACCAGATGACAGAAATTTTCGAAGCACTTGAAGTTTTACGTCATTCTTCAACTCTTGAATATGATTATCCATTAAATCATAAAATTCTGAATAAAGCTCTTGAATATCTTCATCCTTAATTGATCTGATTCCCAATGCACAAAGCATCGTAAGAAAGTTTGGAGTCAAAAGCTTCAACAAATCCTTGGATTTGCCCTTCAAACATCTGATTATTGAAAGTGCTGAATGAATCGTCACAACTTCGACTTGTCTGAACAATTGATTTGATTTTCCGTTGATCTTCTTCATTTCGGTGTCAAGAAATTGATCAACTTCATTCCATAATTGTTTGATGTTCTTAGTGATAACAATTCTTCTCATCAAATACACATAAAATGGATGATTAATTGCATTTGCGTTCTTATTGCTCCACAAAAGATTTACAAAAATGTTGAAGTTGTCTTCATTAAGAACTGAATCAGTGTGCCAGTATTTCTTCAGAAATATTGGATCGATGATGTTTTCATGATGCTCTTCAACTACCAGCAGAAGATAAAGTGGATCAATGGTTATCGTGTCCTTCGCAATGCTCACACTCTTCCTTATTTCTGGCCAAATTGTTGATTCCACAAGATTGGAACTTGACTAAATTTAAATGGATAAAATTTTAAAGTTTATCTAATGATGGGGAGAAAATAAGCAACTTACATTTATCACCAGCTCATTTATGAATGTGTAGGCTAATGAAGATACTGACGGCTTAGATAAACACGAAACAAGACATTTTGTTAAATCTGAAATTTCTTCTTGTGATGCATTTCCCAATGATTTTGGGGATCTAATGATTGCTCCACAAACAAGTGCTGTTCCGACTGTTGAATCTACTTTTCCTTTATCTTCTGAACTGTTGAATTCTTTTTTTACAATGTCCATGATGTTACTGATAGAAGGCAAATTATCCAAAGAGGAATTTAACAATCCTGCAAGTGCTGTATAAAAACCAGTTCGAGAATATGTTGAGGATGATCCATTACCACGAATTAATCTCTTCACGGCATAATCTAAATGTTTCTGTTGCTATAAATTATAATTTTGATTTTATTTAAATTTCTGCAAAAAAAATTTTTTTGAAATTTTTTAATACTTTTTCTTCACTGCTTTCTTTGATGATATTTATGATTCCTTCAGCACCTTTCAATCTGTTGACTTCATCATCACTGGTTAGTTTACTAAATGAAGCGAATATTGTAGTATCTATACTTGAACTTTTATTTTTAAGTTTCATTGTTATTTTCAAGTCAACCACACGTGTTTGAATTTTTTTGACATTATCACGTACGTTTGACGTAATGTTAATTTTGTCTCGAGTTTGTTACTTTACGTTGAGAACGTAAAAGAAAACCGCGTGTGAATCAACTTCTCAATGTTTTGAAGACAAAAAATTACTTCATAATGGCAATTGAAGGAACAATTCATAAAGCTGGTGCTTTAAAACAAACAAATAAATCACATAAACATGGAAAGCATCGATCAAATCGTCAAATTGATGCGGATAACAAAGGTTTGTCCTTAAATTTGTTAATTTTTAGTAAAAATTTGTTTTTGTAAATTTTTTACCATACGAAAATCTTCATAATATTTTCAGGTCGAGTTTCATTAAAAGTTTCTACAAAAAACAAAAGCAAAACAATGAGACGTGAAGATCGTCGACTTCAAGCTATCCAGATTCGTAAAAATAAACGTGAAGAAGCAATGGACAAAAAGAGGAAACTTGGAGGCCTTTCTGGAATGTCAGCACCTTTTCTAACTTGCTTTGTGCCATTGCACGAGGAAATTGATGTTAATTCTGCTCTTGCTATCCTTGAGTCTTGTGATGAAGATGCAATAATTGACAAGACTAATCCTAAAATAACTTACTTGAAGTAAATGATTATTAAATTTCTATTGAACAAATTTGTTTATGATAAATCTTTTTTATATTTTTAGATCTCCACGATTGAAACAAAAGTTTTCATTTATAAAAGCAGTTTATGGTCCTGGAAATGAGCTTAGAAATTTGGATTGTTTGAAAGTCGTTGATAGCACAGTTTTTCTATTATCAGCATCATGTGAAGATGTTCTTGATAGATGGGGTGAGAAGTTTGTTAATTTGGCTCTTTCGCAAGGAATTCCAACTCCAACCATAACACTGATGGACTTGGAATCAATTGCTCCAAAACGACGTGCACAAGTGAAAGCAGATATTCAGAAAAGAATTAATAAATATTTTCCTGATGAAAAGTTGATGGTTTTGGATAAAACTTCGGATGGTCAAAACTTGTTGCGACGAATTGGAGGCCAAAAAAAGAATGAAATTCACAATAAAAATAATCGCCCTCATTTATATAGTGAGAAAGCTGAATTGAACGAGGAAAATAACGTCTTGAAAGTTACCGGCTATCTTCGAGGCATTCCTCTAAATGTCAATAGTCTTGTCCATGTTCCAGGTCTTGGATCGTTTCAAATGACACAAATTCATTCAACACAAGATCCATTGAAAGCTCCCAATGATGCTTCAACTTCATCAAATGTTTGCGTTTATGCAAATCCAGCACTTCAAACTTCTTTAATTTCTGAAAATATTCCTGATGAAATGGATGCTGAGCAAACTTTTCCAACCGATGCTGAAATTGCTCAATCAATGGAAGAAAATAACAAAAAGAAATTTATTAAAAGAATTCCTAAAGGTATGAGCGATTATCAAGCTTGTTGGATTCCTGATATTGAAGAAATTGATGAAAACAATGATGAGAGTGAAAGTGATGATGACGACAATAGTTTCATGTCTTGCGATTCTAATGCTTCAGATCAAGAAGCCGATGATGATGATGGAATGAAGTCTGCAACTGAAGACGATAATGAAGAATTCGAAGATGTTACTGAAAATGAATCCACAACAAATAATGAACAGAGATATGATGAACAAATGGATCTTTATGAGGAAAAGGAAGCTCAAGAGAAATTGAAAGCTCAAAGAACTGATGCAATGTGGCCAGATGAAGTTGACACGCCAAATGATATCCCAGCTCGTGTTAGATTTCAAAAATTTCGAGGATTGGAATCATTTAGAACGTCTCCATGGGATGTTAAAGAAAATTTGCCATTTGATTATGCGAAAATCTTTCAATTTAAAGATTTCAATAGAATTAAGCGAAGAATAATTAAAGAAGCTGCTGAATCTGATGAAACAATTGTTCCTGGAATGTATGTGACGATTCATATTGCCAACGTTGCTACAAATATTTGGGAAGAATACCAGAAATTGAATGGAATTAGTGGAAACTTAATTGTCTACGGTTTACTTCCACATGAAAACAAAATGTCTGTAATGAATGTCGTGTTGAAGAGAGCAGCCGACTCAACAATTCCTATAAAATCGAAGGAACGATTAATAATTCAATGCGGATTTCGTCGTTTCATTGTTAATCCAATTTTCAGTCAACACACCAATGGAAACAAACATAAATTCGAAAGATTCTTCCAACCAAATTCAACTGTCGTTGCTTCATTTTTTGCTCCAATTCAATTTCCACCAGCACCAGTTCTTTGTTTGCGAGAAAATCCTAATGGATCAGTAACAATGATTGCAAATGGAATTCTCATGTCATGTTCACCTGATCGAGTTGTCCTTAAACGTGTCGTGTTAAGTGGACATCCATTTAAGATTAACCGTCGAACAGCAACGGTTCGATTTATGTTCCACAATAAGGATGACATCGACTACTTCAAACCATGTAAATTGCGTACCAAATGCGGTAGAATTGGACACATCAAGGAATCGCTTGGTACTCATGGCCACATGAAATGTGTTTTCGATGGTCAAATGAAGTCTTTCGATACAGTTTTTCTTTATCTATACAAACGAATTTTCCCGAAATGGACTTATGAAGAATATAGAGGCAAAGGTCAGATGATCAACTCAGCAGCAGTGTCAAGTGTTGACATTAATATGGAATAAATTGTGTTACTGATATGCATCAATGCATTAGCGATGTAACAAAATGAAAAGAAGATAATAAAAATGCATTAACTATGTTAAATAACTGTTTTTATATATCTTTCTATTGTTACGATAATTATGACACAAATGTTATGTGACTTTAACAAAGCTTGCAAAATCATTTTAGTCTACCAATAAATAGCATCATGTTGGCACGTGACATTATAACTTTAACTGTTTTATTTTATCTTTTCTATCCAGTGGCTGTAAATTCTTCTTGTGACGTTGAAGAAAAACAAGAAAATGTTTTTAAAGTCGACTATTGTGACTTGCCCAAAAATGTTGGTTCTTGTAAACTTAAATGGAAACGTTTTTATTTCAATCGTCATACGAGGGAATGTGAACAATTTACATACGAAGGTTTTTCTATTAAAATTCTTTTTCTTCTGTTTTAATAAAGAAAAATATTTAATTAAGGTTGTACATCGAATAGAAACAACTTCAAGACGAAAGAAGATTGCATGTCATGTTGCTCATTGTAACTAATGATTCAAATTCCTTAAAACTTCATATATTTTGACAAGAAAATCTCAGCAATTGCAGTAATGGTAACAACAGAATATTGATGGGAAGCTGTAGTGGCAAAACTAGATAACGATTAACAACTCTTGATAACACCGACATTGTTCTAAGAACTCTCCAAACCAACACAAATAATAAGTTGTTCTAAACATTTTCAATTTACTCCGCTCTCTTATTAATTTTATCTTCATTATGTACTGATTATATATTACACTTTATTATCTGTTGAGAATAAATCATTTTCTAAACTGATCGAACATATTCAACTTGAACGCCAAACTAAGAAGATCAAAATTTATTTATTCATTATTAGTGAAACGTGGCATGACAAATGCGACACTAGATAATGAATAATTAAATGAAATCCGTATAAATTAATATAAAAGTGATATTAAGTTTAATTTCAGCTAAAGTGAGTAAAGGAAAAAAATATTAAACACGTGTCAGCGAAACATTCTGATTTTGGTAAGGGAATCAATAAATAATTGAAGCACTTCTTTTTTTTTTGCTTAAACAATACTGGTTCAGGAATTAATTCTTCCTTTAACCAAAATTTTCTTTCAAAATCTTTTCTAACCTTTCTAGCCTTTATGAAATCGCCAAATCACTTTGATATCTTTGTCACTCTTGCCTACCAAATGATTTGTCTTTTTTGTAATAATAGCGAATTCTTCTTTTTGTTCTTCGAGCAACCTCAAATGACCATTTAAAATTTCTAACGCTCGTTCAACGCATTCTTCAAAAAGTTCTCGGTTTAGAAACACCAAAGAATTATGAAGTATTCTCAGTTCGGAAACAATAAAAGTTTTATGGAAATAATTAGCAAGCAGGGCAAGTTGGCGATTGCTAGTACCACGATAAAAAGATCTTGAAACCAATGGATCATTTCGAGGGATGTTAGCGGTGCGAGCAAGAACAATGAGGCGGTCAATGAATTCATACAGGCCCTCAGCATCGGCCTGAGTGGCTACTGAGAGTCGACGTTTAGCCAGAAGAAGGCTTGTGCGGCTTGTGTTGTTAATTCAACATGTGGAATGTCTTCAAGAAGAACATCTTGGTTAGCCAGGAAAAATAAATCAACTTCAGTCCTAAAAGAAAACAGGAAGGCACGAGATGAAGAACGAAAAAACAGGAGGGGATAACACAAGAAAATACTCACGGTATACGCAAATTGGAAACAATAGTAGGTGAGGTTCTACCAGAACGATTTCTGAAAAGAAAGCATCAAAATATGAGTGGGATTTTAACTCAATATAATGTTGAGTAACCTCTAAGAAAGAAAAGGAGTAAAATGGTGGCAAAGTTATACAATCTTTCAACCAAAGGCAAAGTTATACAATCTTTCAACCAAACGACAGATGGATCACATGAAAAAAAGGTAATACTTACGGTTTAGAGTGCGACATGTTAACTTTGTCACGGTATAATCACTTTTGTTTTAAAATTTTATTAAATCTCGATGTTTCTTACCAGAAAATACAAACAGTGATTAAAAAAATAAAAATTAAACAAGGTTTCCGATATATCGGAGTTCGTGTGGACGAGAGTCGGAGTTCGAGTTAGTTCTACGCGGGAGATCGAGGCGTGCGGATTTGGTTATTTACCACGGAACACGTTGGTCACAAGTTTATTCGATAAGTAAGCCGGCATCAAATCCGATTCCATCCCATGAATGAATTTTAGTGTATTATAAATTTATAATAAATTCTCTGTTTAACTGTCATCCAGCATAACATGTCAATCATCTCTCTAATGTGGGTTCTAGGACCTAGCTTAAGAATGAGCCATGTCTGAATGACATGTCAATGTCAGTCAGTCAGTCAGTCAAATTACAACTCTGCCATTTAGATCTCCCATTAAAAACGTTAGGTTGATAAAGGTTAGAAATGATAGAAAGGATTTGGGGAGAAATTTTTGGTTAAAGGATGCGATGAAGTAATTCCTGAACCAGTATTGTTTAAGCAACTGAAATGCAAGCTGACTGTTATTTATTTTTTTCCCCTTAGATTGATTTATTTGAGATTTTCTCCGAAGAACCCAGTTTTAAGTTATCACCGCTTAACAGTTGGGGATCCTACTAGAAGGCTTGATATAAAATATCCTTTTCCATCAGCTGTAGTATCACTGTCTTCTCCAGAACTCCAGCAAAGCCTCAAAACCGCCTCAGAGAGAATTTAATCATTCCGAACGCCAGGTGAATATATTAAATTAAGTTTATATTATTCTTTTTTTTGTTCTGTTTAGGAATTGATATAAATTCTCTTCCCCAACTTATCAGTTGACTTAGTCAGCAAAGTCAATAGGTAAAATATAAACTAAAAGTTTGTGGGTCACATTTCATACTTCCTTTCAATTCCACTAATTTTGAAGCCTACAAACTTCCTAATAACATTATATTTTGTATTGAGTATAAATAAAATCTATCAGATATTGATTATTCTAAAATTGAATGATGTTGTCTTATAAATATTTACATATTTGTTGTTTTAATTTTATCTCACATCACAAAACATTTCAGGTAAATAAGTAACACATTTCTTTGCACTTGAATCAAGTTAGCTTTTAGAAGCAGTATTTACTAAATACAATGTAGATGTCTCAATGCCTAAAAACATAAATCCTATTTACAACGAATACAAAAGTTTCTGAATATTCGTGAACAATACGACACATGAATGTTATTCGATAACTTGTGAATAAAATTGAAGAGTCGTTTTTCTTTTCTTCCATTGTTTTAAAGAGACATGAAATTTTTTTTGACAGTCAACAAAAAACCATGCGATGAACAATTTCCGCTCTTGTTTATAAGTCAAAACTATTCGGTTGCTATAGGGCTGAAAGTTTTTTTTCTTCCTTTTCAGATTTTCCATTCAATTTGTAACGTGAGTGAAGTTATAAAACAGTTTGAATAAGGATTTCAGTGTGACTGGATAGCGTGTAAGCTTTCAAATAAAAATTATAAAAAGTTTCAATTGCATAATAGGATTTGTCATTGTCTAACCAAATAACAAAGTGAATAAATAAATTTAAATTTACAATCTGGGAAACTGCGTGGATAAATCAGTCGTTTCTGTTGTCCAACAGAAACTTAGGTAGGACTATTAGTTCCGAATCGATATACTTGGTTCTTATAATAAATAATTAATAACATGAAGTCTTTTGTCAAATGACCATCATTCGTCACATCAATTTTCTAGGTTGAAATCGATGAACCTTTATTACCTTCCAACATCACCACCATGTCGTGCTGTTCTTTTATTAGGCAGGATTTTGGGACTAGATTTTAATCTTAGACTTACAAATATTCAAGAAGGGGAGCACATGAAAAAGGATTTCCTTGAAGTGAAGTTTTGATTGGTTTTTCCTGTCTTTGTGGTTAAATTAATAAATGAACTTCTAGCTTAATCCAACTCACACCATACCAACGTTGGAGGTAATTTTATTTATTTTCAAAGGAAATTTTTGTTGACGTAAATATGATTATGTATAGGTGACAGAAAGTGGTTTAGTTTTGTGGGAAAGTAAGTTACTCTTTCTTTTCCGATACATATTTCTGTTTATATGAATATCGATTTCTTTTTTTTTTCTTTAAATCTAAAATCAAAAAGGCAGAGTTATTTTGACGTATCTTGTATCGTCATTTGGAAAGAGCGAACACGAAAATCTTTATCCCGTCGAACTACAGAAACGTGCACTTGTTGATTTACACCTTCAATTTGATCTCTCAACGTTATATCAACGGACGGTCGATTATTTCTTCCCTACAATCTCTTTAGGTGCTCTACTTGATGAATCAAAGAAAGCTCGATTAGTTGAAGCTTTGGGATTTTTCGAAGCTCTTTTGAAGAATAAAAAATTCTCCACTGGTGATGATTTTACTCTCGCTGATCTTTCTCTGTGTGTCACTGTGTCACAAATTGAAGCATTTAATTTTGATTTGTACCCTTTCCCAAAAATAAGAAAATGGTTAGCTGAATGTAAAAATGAATTACAACCATATGGCTATGCAGTAAGTTTTGAATATGATTGAATATTTCTCAAAAATTGAATGAATTTATTATTTTGTTTAAACAGGAAATTAACGAAAGTGGAAATAAAAATCTAGCATGGTTGTTTGACGCTAAGTTGAAAGCAGCCAAATAAATCAGACAAATATGTCATGTGTGGGAGCGCTTACATGCTTTTTATGTTCCCTTTCTATGCACTTAAATATTCTCTAACATGATGTAGATTAGTTTTATTATTGCTGTAAGAGAAAATAATACTGTTTAATGTGTGGATTATATTTGGTAGTTAATTTAAATAAAATTATAAGAAATAAAATGAATTTTGTTTTGGTGAAATGGGGCATAAAGATTACATTACAAAACTTGAATTTTTTAATTGACGAAATAATCGATACTCGATTGTGATTGTTCAACAATTGAAAACATGTAGGCACATAAAATGTAATTAAGTGAGATGTGTTTTTGTGAATAAGTTTTCTAAAAGACGTCACTTTTATCTTATCATTTTCTAAAAAAATTATGAAATAAAGACTTCTAAAGATAACAAAAAGTAAAAATTGTCTCTCGTGACTCCACAAAAACAATTTCCAGTAATCATTTTTAAAGTAATTATAAATATTTCTAAGACTATTTGTGGCACAGAGTTCAAAGAATGATTCATTACTAAATGACTTGCGTTTTTAACCTGTGAACATACAAGCTTCTGTAACTAGCCACAATTTGTGAATTAAGAATCCGATTCATGCATGCAAAAAATAGGAATTTTCCCCAAAGATGATTTAACAATCGACATTGTTCATACATGAATAGATTTATACGTAAGTAATGTAAAACCACGAAAAAAGAAATCAAGCTTCTGAAGGAAATATATAAATTGAAGCAAATATGTTGTAACATTTATTTTCTACTGTCTCACTTCCCCACCAATGTTAACTAGCGAGAAAAAAAGAAACGCTGAATAATTTTAGCTCTCACGTTCGGTGCTCTTTTCAGTCTGCGTTCAATTCTTGATCAGAACAGTCACATTTTATATTTCGTGTTCTTAAAGGTAAATGTGTGCCTAAGTTAGTTAATAACGTTAAATCATTCGTTGCATATTACGATAATGGTTTTATTTCGTGACAACTTTTGAAGATACGATCAATTTAGAACAAATATTTAATTGAATCAATTAAATATTCATTATATTACATTTCGGCCTTAATAAACCAGTTTAACCCTTTTTTGTTTCTCTTCTTATCCAAGCAGCATTTTAAGTGTTCAAGTGCCCACGTACAAGGAAGAAAAAAATGGATTTCTACTACTTGCCTGGTAAGTTAAACGTTACTTCATTGGAATGTTGATTTTCATTCGAATATAAATCATTTAAAGGCTCTTCCCCATGTCGTGCTGTTCAGATGACAGCCGCTGCAGTTGGAGCTAACCTTAACTTGAAATTGCTTAACTTGATGGCTGGAGAACATTTGAAACCTGAGTTCATTGCGGTAAGTTAATGCAATCATTCGATTGTAATTCAAGAAACATTTTCTAATCCCAATGTCATAATAAATTACAACATATCAAGAAAAAAATTCTTAAAGAATCGTGATTGTCAATAATACTTCATGATTATCAAACTATCAAAGTTTGCTAGACTGGGAATATATACAAGACAAATCTTGAAATGTCTCTATGAATGAATTAATAATTTTATGCTTTTATTGCGCTTATAATGAATGTAGAGAATTAAAAACGCTTAGTAATTTGATGGTTCGTCAAGTCTCCTTCATCTGTCTTTTGTTCAGTTCTTTTATATTTATCAATACACATGAACACGTAACTGGAAGAATTTTCGCTTGAATATGAGTGAACGAGAGTAACTTTATCAAAAAGCAACTAAATGTTCTCTTGAGAGCGCGTTAGACTCACATTGATGTACAAAAAAAAATCAAAAACAAATCTTTTTGATTAGCCTTGACAATGAACATTTGTAAACCGGCTAAATTAACTTGTTGCCAAACAATCTTCCCTCCTAATATTGTGAAAAAATAATTCTCTCATTTAAAAATGTAAGAAATTTCTGACTTCTAGTCAATGTTCATTTCGTTTTCTTTTATGCTGGCATTCATCCAAGCAGAAGAAGGAAAAGAACTTAAAGAAACTACAACACGATGCGATGTATTAATGCGGACCATTGATTTTGAATAGGTAGTTGGCGTTAGCTGACCGACCAACACTTGTAGGTATTCATTAGCGGAAAAACATTATTTCAATCGATCGTTTTTCGTAGCAAGAAACTTTTTTGTGGTTTAATATTTTTGTTCGATTTTTATTGCTTAATCATTAATGATGTCGGTTAATCGAACATTTTCGAATGTTTACAATTTCTTCAAAATTGATGATCATTTGTATGTTGACGTTGGTTTCGTTTCAAATTTTCATTTTCTCGTATGACCTGAGGTTCAAAGTCCAGCTTACAAGCCTTAGTCAAGCCTTCAGCATAAAGTGGCAAACGTTGACACATTCGGAAAGTATGAAGATCTCTTTCCTGACGACACATGTTCAAGTCAACTTCGCAAATTAACAATCCGTCACGATCACGTGGCATGCCAGGTGAACGTGTACCATCAGGCGCTGCTAAATAAGCTGAACCATAGAATGGACCCATATCCTTATGAGCCGGCTTACCATCAGCCGATGTAAATTCGTTTTGGAATATTTCAGTTCCAACACGATTGATCTGTAAATAAGTTTGAAAAACGTTAAAATTTCATGCAACACGAGTTCAATGAATTTCTTTTATATTTATCTTACTGTAACAGTGAAATAAGAATTCGCCACTGCAGCATTTCTTCCTTCAATGAACCACATTCTGAAGCATAAAGAGAAAGTAGGAATAAGAAGTTTGAGATTTTTTCGAGTTTAAGAAGAAAGAAATTATTTTGTTACCTATCAGAAAGCGAACCTCCAATTTCAGCTGATGGATTGAAAACAATTTCAGCTCCATTAAGGCCAAACATCATCCAATCTAAATTTAAATGAAGATATTAATAATATTTCTTTATGTGTTAAAAACATTAAAATTACTTTGAGGATGATGTCGTCCATAGCAAATATTCATCGCGATCTTTCCGAATTGCGTTTCAAACACTGGATGTCCAGTGTTTCCTTCATAATAATAAGTTGATTCATTAAAGTCACCAACACCTGGAAAAAATCCTTGATCGAAATTGTAAAAGTTTGTAAATTAAATTTTGTGCACTTACGCGGAATATGGTTCTTACGATGCTTTCCAATAATATTTCCAGTGTTGCTTATGACAACCGCAGTATTCCATATGATGTCGCCTTGATCTTCATCGCGTTCCAAAATAGGACAAACAATAACCATGTTGAACTTCTTAGCGTACTGCAAAAATAAAATTTCTCTTCAATAGTCATGGTTGATTATTTCATTTGACAACTAATTTACTCACGCCTTTCAAGAAAGTAACTCCAGCTCCGGTTTTAGCATTCTCGGCAAATTCACACCACGGATATTTCTGCGAAATGATTAGTGATGCTTTATTAATTTATGTTCATATCCATGACTTACCTCTCTTGTACAAAAGACATAAGGCAATGCTATAAAAGAAAGAACACGTTTAATAACCTTTTCCATAATAAATTAAGTTATCAAGAACACAAAATAATTGATAATTATATAAGAATAATAAAAATTAAAAGAGACATGTTTACAAATGACAGATGCTAATGTTATCAACTCACTCCAAAGTTCTTGCAAACATAAGACATTAACGTTATCAGCTGCCGCAGCTTCGATGATTTTTCCGACTTTTGCAAAAATTGCGTCTCGTTGAACGCTAACCGGTGCTGTTGTTGGAGCAGCGATTGAAGTTTGGACAGCTCCAATTCTTACGATTCGTGGTTTACGCAAATCTTCCTTCTTTGCTTTGAAGCCATAGGTCTTGATGACAAAATTGTTGGATTCAGCAATTCTTTGGGCTGATGACGAGATTGATAACTCGTGGCTAATAAAAATAAGATGAAAGTTTATTTTTAATCAGTATATAAGTAAGTTATTTACTCATCAGAACGTCCATAGATATGCGTTTTTATGTCCTTAAGGTCTTGCGATGGAACGCTTTTCAAGGACTCTTCCAAAGTTCTCAAATTAAATGAATCAGACATGCTTGTAATCGATTAAATTTTCTGACCAAACCCTCACTTAGACACTTCAATAACTGAACTAAAGAAAGGAATGGAATTATCGCCAGTTTTATAGCTCGGAGAGAGTCCGAAAGAATCGCTTACGAGAGAAAACAGATGATTGATAAGAGTTTAAAAATCAAAACCTTAAATGTTAATTTCAACATCAACAGTTGCATTTCCTTTGTGGCTTTTATTTTCTTAAGAAATCTACTGAAGCTATACAATTAAGTAGATTTAGTTGAAGGTCAATTCGTGTGTGGGAAATCGGTATAATGTCAAAAATATCAATTATATGATGAATGAATTGTGTCTAATAATAGCAGAAATTCGACAATACTTACGTTACTCATTCATAATTTTTTTTCAGATCAACCCGCAACACACGATTCCAACACTTGTTGACAATGGATTCGCTCTTTGGGAATCTCGTGCAATTCAAATATATTTGGTCGAAAAGTACGGAAAGGACGATTCTCTCTTCCCAAAGGATGCTAAAACTCGTGCTGTTGTTAACCAGAGATTATATTTTGATATGGGAACTTTGTATCAACGATTTGGGGGTAAATAATTGACTAATTTTGTTTTAATCGACTTTCAGAATTTAATTTATTTCTCCTTTACAGATTATTACTATCCACAACTCTTTGCTAAAGCCCCAGCTGATCCAGAAAAGTTCAAAAAGATGGAAGAAGCTATGGCATTCTTAAACACATTCCTGGAAAAGTCAAAGTACAGCGCTTGTGATCATTTAACTGTTGCAGACATTTCACTTGTTGCCACTGTTTCTTCTTACGATATTGCTGGTTTTGATATCAGCAAATATCCTAATGTTGCTCGCTGGTACGATTTATGCAAGGCAACTGTTCCTGGTTATCAGTTGAACGAAGCTGGACTCCAAGAATTCAAGAAATTCTTCTGAATCAAGAAGCTTTTCTTTCTAATATTTCTCGATAAATTTTTGGTTCATTTATTTTTTTCTTTATATATAAAGTGCCTGTTTATGTAACGCTTTGGCAATTATTTTTACTGAAGTAAATAAAAATTTGGCTATTCGAATAAACAACTCATCTTATCTACTCGTTCTAGAAATTCTAGAAATTATGAAATGTTCTAAACATAAATTATTCAGAGATTGTTGTAAAATTCTCAAACATGTTCAAAGCTACAGATATTTTTTATTTGTTGATTTTAAAGCTTCCACATAAATTGAGAGTCAAGGTTAAATCTATGAAGGTCGCGCAAATATTTATTCTCAGTTCTTGACAATGAATACATGCGTAACACAAGTTCCATTATTCAATTCTTTTATTGAAGAAATCTGCAAATCATTCTCTCTTCTGACATAATATTTAATCATCATATGTGGTTGTATGTGATTATTTAGATTATTGTGTGTATGAAACATTTATTAAAGCGATTCAGTTAGAAACAATATCTTGAAGACTTTGGTTTATTACAAAAAGAAATCAACAACATAATGTGCGATTTGTATTATACTCCACGTAATAAAAATTTTAATTGATAATCATTATAAAATTTATTCACTTTTAATAAAAATGTTTTGCTTTTAAAGTGTCACCACCATGTCGTAGTGTGTTGATGCTTGGAAAGGCTTTGGGAATCCGAATGCATTTGAAAGCCATGGACATGGCTGAAAAGAAAGATCATATGACGCCCGAGTTTTTAAAACTTAATCCTCAACATACGATTCCTACACTTGTCGATAATGGATTTTCTTTGTGGGAATCACGTGCCATTCTTGGATATCTTGTTGATAAATATGCAAAGAATGACTCACTATATCCCAAAGACCCCAAAAAACGTGCCGTTGTTGATCAACGATTGTAAGCTTACATAATCGACAAAAGTAGAATTTTTTTATTTGTATTTTACCGATAACAGATACTTTGACATGGGAACATTATACAAGCGTTTAGGTGATTACTACTTCCCTCAAATGCGAATGAATCTTCCCGCTGATCCGGAAAATTTCAAGAAATTGGAAGAAGCTGTTGAACTCTTGGACTTATTTTTATCCAAGTCCAAATATGTAGCTGGAGATAAAGCCACAATTGCTGATTATGCATTAATTTCAACTTTTTCTACGTTAGAAGCGGCTGAATATGATTTTTCCCGATTCCATAATATTATTCAATGGTATGATTTGTGTAAGAAAACCCTCGCTGGCATTGAAGCCAATGAAGAAGGCATAAGATTAGTAAAGGAACGTTTGGAGAAAATGAAAGCGAAGAATTGATAATTTTTTTAAAAATCATCTTCAATTATGATGACGAGAGTTAAGTAGAATTAAGTACATAAAAGGCAAAAAATACATTAAATGATTTCATAATTATGATGTAGTATGAAATTCTTCTTTTGTTTTAAATAAAATATCAAACGTCAAAATAAAATTACCTATGGAACTTTACCACATAATTTTATTTTTACACAGACGATAACAAGAAAAAATATTTTTAATTTACTCATGTGACGTTTGCAGAATTTTAAGTTGTATAATTTCTATAAAAGCTCCCTCACTGATAGGATTTTATTTCAGTTCTCTCTTGACTGTCTCTATAACCAGTTGAACCCTCCAAAATTTTAAAATAAACTATGGATTTATATCATATTGTGGGTATGTGTACACAAAAAAATAATAGTTTTGATTGTGTATGAAGCTTTTATTAATTTAAGAACTTTTTGAACAGATTCTCCCCCTTGTTGGAGTGTTAGAATAACTGCTGCTGCTCTCAATGTCAAACTCAACTTGAAGGAAATGGATTTACTCGAGAAAAAGAATCATCTTTCTCCAGAATTCACTAAACTTAACCCACAACAAACAGTTCCTACGCTTGTGGTAGAAAAAGACTTTATAATGGCAGAATCGCGTGCAACTATTGCTTATCTCGCTGATAAGTATGGGAAAGATGATTCGTTGTACCCGAAGGATCTTAAGACCAGAGCAATCGTCAATCAGAGATTATTTTTTGATATCGGGACACTATATGACAAAATCTTGTATTATTACTTTGCTAAATTTTTCAACAAGCAGCCGGATCCACAAGATTTGAAAAGATTTGAAAAGGCTCTTGGCGTCCTGAACACATTTTTGGAAGGGAACAATTATGTTGCAGGAACCAAAACATTTACGATCGCTGACATTTCTCTTTATTCGTCTTTAAAATGTGTCACTGTTTTTAATTTTGATTTCTCTCCTTATCCAAACGTAAAGAAATGGTTGAAGTTGATGGATGAAAAAGCACCAGCTAAAGAAGTCATCACTGAAGGACTCAAAGAATTAAAAGCACTACTTGAAACGTACAATGCCTAAGCATAAAATACTTTCAATTGACGATGCTTTTTATAAATAAATACAAAAAACTGTAATGTTTCGTAGATTGAAAAATAAACAAATTAACTTTGAAAATATATCTTTGTCTGAGCTTTAATAATTAAATATATTTTCTAATGCCATCATGACATGACATAAAATCATATCAAAACTCTGACACAATCAGCACAAATTTCATAACAAATTATCAAATAATTTCTTCTATTCTCACATCTTTAAATCTTCTGTTTGTCAAAAATAATTTTTAACTCACACACACGACGCTGGCATAAACTATATTTTTTTCAGTTCTTGAATATTTCATATTTCAGTTCTCTCTTGTCTTTCGTCAGTGATAAGTTTACTTTAAAGTCTGCAGTTTCACTCCCAAAAAAGAAATGGATTTGTACTATGAGAATGGTAGGTTGAATAATTTTCATAAACTTATTTTTATAATTTTGTTATTTAACAACAGGTTCACCACCATGCCTGAGTGTAATAGTTACTGCAGCTGCGCTTAATGTCAAATTAAACTTAAAGGAATTGGAGTTGGAAGTGAATAAAGAACATTTGACACCAGAATTCACAAAAATCAACCCTGGAACGAAAACATTCACGATCGCTGATATATCGATTTATTCATCCTTTTTAACCATCCCGAATCCGAATAACGATTTTTCTCCTTATCCCAATATCAAGAAATGGTTGAAGTTAATGGAAGAAAAAGCTCCAGCTAAAGATTACATCAAGAAGAGTGTTGCAGCGATTCAAATGTTTTGCGAAAAATATAAGCCTTGAAAGACAACGACAATAATTTTATTCAATTGAAATTATTGTATTTTTCACATAAATATGGATACTCAATAAAATCAGCTAAAATTTATAAAAACCACGAATTTTAAATATTTAGTTCAATACTTANGCGCTTAATGTCAAATTAAACTTAAAGGAATTGGAGTTGGAAGTGAATAAAGAACATTTGACACCAGAATTCACAAAAATCAACCCGCAACAAACTGTTCCAACTCTTGTTGACAATGGATTCGCATTGTCAGAGTCTCGTGCGATCATGCAATATCTCGTTGAAAAGTGTGGAAAGGATGATTCGTTGTACCCGAAGGATCTTAAAACCAGAGCCATTGTTGATCAGAGATTATTTTTCGATATCGGAACTTTATATACGCATGTATTGAAATCATTTTTTTATTGGTTTGACAAAAAGCCAGAAGATCCTCAAGATTTGAAAAGGCTGGAGAGGGCACTTATCGTCTTGAATACATTTTTGGAAGGAAACAATTATGTGGCTGAAACGAAAACATTCACGATCGCTGATATATCGATTTATTCATCCCTTTTAACCATCCCGAATCCGAATTACGATTTTTCTCCTTATCCCAATGTCAAGAAATGGTTGAAGTTAATGGAAGAAAAAGCTCCGGCTAAAGATTACATCAAGAAGAGTGTTGCAGCGATTCAAACGTTCTGCGAAAAATATAAGCCTTGAAAGACAACGACAATAATTTTATTCAATTGAAATTAGGTATTGTATTTTTCACATAAATATGTATACTCAATAAAATCAGCTAAAATTTATAAAAACCACGAATTTTAAATATTTAGTTCAATACTTAAAATTAGAGTAAAACTTTCTTCTTACAGAGAATCGATTCCGTTTTATCTTTATAAAAGTTATCTATTACTGATTTTATCAAAACCAAAACTCTTTTTGATAAATTCATTGCTGGAGAGTTTCATGTAGAATTAAAAAGCTACTTTGGAGCTGCTTAAGCATGCATCTGAAAATAAATATTAAAAAAAAGATCTAAGTAGGTAATCTTTTTTATTATCGTTTGGCTTTATTTTCCCATAGGTCTCAATACTTAGAAAACAAATTTTATGGTTGGTATTTCTCGTTAAAAGCATACATGCCCTTTACACTTTTTTCGATACTTTCCTTAGCTGGAATTTTTTCTTCCATTAACTTCAACCATTTCTTAACGTTTGGATATGGAGAGAAGTCGTATTTCATGTTAGGAAGTGCCAAAAGTGTTGTGTACATTGAAATGTCAGCAATGGTAAAAGTTTTAGTTCCAGCAACACATAATTATTTTCTTCCAAAAACGTGTTTAACGCGACAAGCGCTTTCTCAAATTTCTTCAAGTCCTGTGAATCTTGTGGTTTTCCATAAAACCAATGCAAAAAGTAATTTAACAAATGAGTTTCCAGTGATCCCATATCAAAGAACAATCTCTGATTAATCACCGATCTAATCTTATGATCTTTCGGGTACAGCGAATCGTCTTTCCCGTACTTCTCAGCAAGATAAATATTGATAGCTCGCGACTCTGCTAATGCAAATCCATTATCAACCAATGTAGGTATTGTTTGTTGCGGATTGAGTTTGGTATATTCCGGTGTCAAATGATTCTTTTCAACCATAAGACTCATTTTTTTCAAATTTAAATTGATGTTGAGTGCTGCAGCGGTTACGATTACACTCAAACATGACGGTGAATCTATTGAAAATTTCAAAACTAAAATCATTAATCTCTGTAAAAAATTATCCAACCTACCAATCTCATAGTACAAATCCATTCTTCTTTTAAATTACTGCGAAAACACTGAACTAGGTACTTATTGAAGCTCAACAAGACTGTTAGTAGACTGTTTGGTATTAAACATACAACTGAAATGTTTAGCAGCGATGTGATCTTTTAAATAAAATTTTTGGAGACTTCTGATTTAATGTCTAAATTGGAAATATTTGCGTCAGAGTAGAATTTATCATTTCATTATTTAAAGAAAAATTATGATTAGATAAGTAGATGACAATACAATATTTTCTGTAAATTGATTTTTTCTGAATCCTCTTATTGATTTAATGTTACATTAAAAATCACATTATTGAAAGATAAAGAAATTTATTAATTAAAGCTGAATGAAACGATTAAGCTTATTTTTCTTTTAAAATATGAAAATTGTGATGTCATATCATTGTGTTCCCTATGACATCAACGTAATTAGGTACTTAGATAATTTTAGAAAGTGAAAATATCATAAAGTTAAGTAAAAGAATGTTTAATGCGAGTAAATGACTGACCTTTTTTCACGAATATCTTTTAAATGGCTCAATGGATTGAAAAGATTTCTTGAAAATCAGTAGAGGTAATAAAACTGTTTGAATTCAGAGATGAAATAAATTTAAAAAGTGTTTAGTTAAGGAGTTATTAAGGAAACAACCTGTTGTACTGTGTATCCTTTATGGAATTGCCTTAATTTCAATCCTTAATATTTAACCCTTAAATATTTAATCCAAGTTAATTTCAGGATTAACTCTTAATCTAACCTGTTGACAGAGATGTCAACCAGTTTTTAAGAATTTCGAGAGAATCAGAAAACAATACACTGTTAAATATTAACACTTCGAAAATTATCAGAAATAAAAATTTATTTACAGCTACATAGGTATAATTATCAGAGTTTTAAAAATATGGAAAGCTTATTTATTATCAATTCAACTGGAGATGTATTCCTAGAGAAGCATTGGAGATCAGTAATATCAAAATCTATTTGTGATTACTTCCTAAACAAAATGAAAACCTCAAACGTAAGCAAAATTAAAAAAGTTAAATTAGAATAGTTTGGGATTGTCTTGAGCCCTAATTATGAAGTTAAAGCATTCATTTAGTTTAATTTCCCGACGTTTCTTTTATAAATTTCAGGAAATTCCGCCAGTAATTTCAACATCTCTACAATCGACGAATCTCGTATCAATTCAACGTTGCGGTGTTTACTTTGTTGTCGTTTGCAAGCAAGACGTGTAAGCAAGAATTAAATTTTGCGATTAATTTAGTCTCTGAAAACTATTTTTAATTATTCCAGACAACCACTTTTTGTCATAGAATTTCTTCACAGAGTTGTTGATATGTTTGAAGATTATTTCAGCGAATGCAATGAAGCAGTCATCAAAGAGAATTATGTTGTAATTTATGAACTTCTGGAGGAAATGCTTGATAATGGATTTCCACTTGCGACTGAATCAAATATTTTGAAAGAGCTTATTAAACCACCGAACGTTCTTCGTACTATTACGAACACTGTTACGGGAAGAACAAATTTCAGTGGAACACTTCCTGTTGGATCTTTATCAGCAATTCCCTGGAGAAGGAGTGGTGTGAAGTACACAAATAATGAAGCATATTTCGATGTGATAGAAGAAATTGATGCTATCATTGATAAATCAGGATCAACTGTGTTTGCTGAAATTCAAGGATACATCGATTGTCTCATCAAATTAAGTGGAATGCCTGATCTTTCTTTGTCATTTGTCAATCCTCGACTTCTTGATGATGTTTCATTCCATCCTTGTGTGAGGTTCAAACGATGGGAAACTGAAAGAGTTTTAAGCTTCATCCCTCCAGATGGAAATTTCCGACTGATGTCTTATCATGTAACATCGCAGAGTGTGGTTGCGATTCCTATTTATGTTCGTCAAAACATTCAATTGAAGTGTGAAGAGCAAGGCAGATTGGACATTACAGTTGGACCGAAAACCACTTTAGGAAGAACTCTTGAAAATGTTAAGCTTGAGATTTTATTGCCAAAAGGAGTCACGAATTGTACACTCGTCGCAACTCAAGGCAAATACACGTTTGATAACATCACAAAAACACTTCATTGGGATATTGGAAAAATTGACATTCAAAAGTTGCCAAACATTCGTGGAAGTGTTTCAGTGGCTGCAGGATCATCAGTTGAATCAAATCCTTCCATCAATGTTCATTTCACCATCTCGCAAATAGCTGTGTCAGGTTTGAAAGTGAATCGACTCGACATGTATGGTGATGTTAAATATAAACCATTTAAAGGTAAGCGAAATCCATATGGAAACTTTTCTCGTTAAACTAATTTAAATTTATTTTTATTAGGGGTCAAATATTTGACAAAAGCTGGAAGGTTTCATATTCGACTATAAATTAAAACTCACTTTAATCAAAACATCAACATGGCAACAAGATCATCTTTTTATTTCAATATTAATTTTAATTTTTGTAAACCCTTTTTTGAAAAGAAAATATATTAATGTTTAATCATGAAAGAAAAAATTGACTTTTTCTTGTGAATAAATTTTCTTGAAGATATTTCAGTTCACGCAAAGTGCTACACATAAAACATTAGTTAATTTGAAATGCTTTTTCACCTTCAACAATATCTTGTGTTTGGACAGTAAAGCTTGCACAAAATTTATTGATTAAAACTGTTTATAACACTCTTCAAATTCAAGTAATCTTTTTCTTTAAAATATCTACTCAAGAAAAGAAAAACAATTCTTCTAATCAAATAAGTAATTCTTCATACATATTTACGGATTGAGGTGTTGTCGTATCTCAATAACTGAGAAGAAGCTAAATTACTTCCACATATATTTTAATAACTAGATCATTTTATTGTTATAACTAAACACAGCACGAACAAAAGTGTTGTGTTCGTGCTGTGTTTAGTTATACTATCCTTTTTACGTGATTTCGATATAAAATAATCATTTTATTGTTATTACCACCACTTTTCAGATCCATAAAATATATTCTCTGATATTTTTTTCAATTTGTTCCCATGATAATTTTTTTAAAAATCATCTTCAATTATGATGACGAGAGTTAAGTAGAATTAAGTACATAAAAGGCAAAAAATACATTAAATGATTTCATAATTATGATGTAGTATGAAATTCTTCTTTTGTTTTAAATAAAATATCAAACGTCAAAATAAAATTACCTATGGAACTTTACCACATAATTTTATTTTTAGGTGTACATACACAGACGATAACAAGAAAAAATATTTTTAATTTACTCATGTGACGTTTGCAGAATTTTAAGTTGTATAATTTCTATTAAAGCTCCCTCACTGATAGGATTTTATTTCAGTTCTCTCTTGACTGTCTCTATAACCAGTTGAACCCTCCAAAATTTTAAAATAAACTATGGATTTATATCATATTGTGGGTATGTGCACACAAAAAAATAATAGTTTTGATTGTGTATGAAGCTTTTATTAATTTAAGAACTTTTTGAACAGATTCTCCCCCTTGTTGGAGTGTTAGAATAACTGCTGCTGCTCTCAATGTCAAACTCAACTTGAAGGAAATGGATTTACTCGAGAAAAAGAATCATCTTTCTCCAGAATTCACTAAACTTAACCCACAACAAACAGTTCCTACGCTTGTGGTAGAAAAAGACTTTATAATGGCAGAATCGCGTGCAACTATTGCTTATCTCGCTGATAAGTATGGGAAAGATGATTCGTTGTACCCGAAGGATCTTAAGACCAGAGCAATCGTCAATCAGAGATTATTTTTTGATATCGGGACACTATATGACAAAATCTTGTATTATTACTTTGCTAAATTTTTCAACAAGCAGCCGGATCCACAAGATTTGAAAAGATTTGAAAAGGCTCTTGGCGTCCTGAACACATTTTTGGAAGGGAACAATTATGTTGCAGGAACCAAAACATTTACTATCGCTGATATTTCTCTTTATTCGTCTTTAAAATGTGTCACTGTTTTTAATTTTGATTTCTCTCCTTATCCAAACGTAAAGAAATGGTTGAAGTTGATGGATGAAAAAGCACCAGCTAAAGAAGTCATCACTGAAGGACTCAAAGAATTAAAAGCACTACTTGAAACGTACAATGCCTAAGCATAAAATACTTTCAATTGACGATGCTTTTTATAAATAAATACAAAAAACTGTAATGTTTCGTAGATTGAAAAATAAACAAATTAACTTTGAAAATATATCTTTGTCTGAGCTTTAATAATTAAATATATTTTCTAATGCCATCATGACATGACATAAAATCATATCAAAACTCTGACACAATCAGCACAAATTTCATAACAAATTATCAAATAATTTCTTCTATTCTCACATCTTTAAATCTTCTGCTTGTCAAAAATATAAAAATTGAGTGTGTGTGCTGCGACCGTATTTGATATAAAAATTCAGTTGTTGAATATTTCATATTTCAGTTCTCTCTTGTCTTTCGTCAGTGATAAGTTTACTTTGAAGTCTGCAGTTTCACTTCCAAAAAAGAAATGGATTTGTACTATGAGAATGGTAGGTTGAATAATTTTCATAAACTTATTTTTATAATTTTGTTATTTAACAACAGGTTCACCACCATGCCTGAGTGTAATAGTTACTGCAGCTGCGCTTAATGTCAAATTGAATTTAAAGGAATTGGAGTTGGAAGTGAAAAAAGAACATTTGACACCAGAATTCACAAAAATCAACCCTGGAACGAAAACATTCACGATCGCTGATATATCGATTTATTCATCCTTTTTAACCATCCCGAATCCGAATAACGATTTTTCTCCTTATCCCAATATCAAGAAATGGTTGAAGTTAATGGAAGAAAAAGCTCCAGCTAAAGATTACATCAAGAAGAGTGTTGCAGCGATTCAAATGTTTTGAGAAAAATATAAGCCTTGAAAGACAACGACAATAATTTTATTCAATTGAAATTATTGTATTTTTCACATAAATATGGATACTCTATACTTATAAATTTTATAAATTTTATGGTTGGTATTTCTCGTTAGAAGCATACTTGCCCTTCACACTTTTTGGGAAAGGAAAGGAAAAAGTGAATGATTTTTTTGAAACATTCTCTGAAGTTTATCTAAATCAAACTTAGTAAAGATAATGAAGTGCATATTATTTAAGAGAAACGGTTATATCATGACTACATAATGTATACGGTTGTACTTTAAAATAGATTGTTCTATTCCCATTTTATTTAAAGTAATATCTTTGAAAGTCATAATGCAACAATTTTTAGAAAGCGCGTTTTCCTTAAATTTCGATATTGTCTTGCATCACGAAATGAAAAAGTAGAGCTTTTACCTTTGTATTGTGGAAACTCGCAAATTTTTGAGACGCTGTTAGAAGAAGTATTATTATTAATTTAACTATCAAAAGATGAAAATTAAGAGGAAGTTATTATCTAAAAATGAAGTCTTGCAACTTTGAAGTAGTCTAATAACTTGAGAACACTCATTCAAAAATGCGAAAAGTATTATTTCTCTCCACGACATCAGACGCAGCCAACAAGAATGTTATGATCTAATACAACAACAAGAAAGCATGATTCTGATATAAACCATGTCCGAAACAGTTTATTAGTTTAGGCTCTGAATTAAATAAAAACAAATCTTATTTCATTTCAATCAGTTCCAAAACGAATTTATAAGAGAACTGGGAAGAAACTAATCATACTCATAAAATATTCGTAATATTAATCGGAATTCATCATTAGCATTTTATTTTTAATCGAAGATTTAAAAATCGGAAGATAACTTTTCTAATTTTTGAACAATAATTTATATGAATCTTTTTGTGATCTTTTTTGCTACCTTGATTTGGCATCAATACATCCACAAATATAGTGGGGAAATGAATAAGCTTCCTTAAGCACTCAAAAAAAATTTGAATTAAAAAAGCTATTTAAATAATTTAAAACCTATTTACTTAAGTTTATATTTGGTCAATAAATATTTAAGACAATGACATATAGGGTTAATCTTAAAATAAAAAAATCAATCTCAGAGTTCATTGGATTCATACGAAATCATTGAGCGTCCTTAAAGCTTTCTGTTTTGAATGGGATACTACTACAATCAGTTTTGTGAAATATTTATTCTTATTCAAAAACTTTTTTTTCAAACCCACGCTTTTACTCAATGAAGCTTCATTACATGTTCGACTCTCTCCTCTCTTTATGAGAAAAAATCGAAATCGATTAATTCGTGACGTGCGCATAAGGGTTTAGGGATGAAAACATTCTTAATTTTGATTTTTTATTTCAATTTGATATCCATCTTCAGAAGTAAATGTTGTAATTAATCTCATATCTAGCATTTATAACTTTACTAGCTTTATGGTTTAATTATCTTAAATTTCTTTTTATTGAGAAAAATCTAATGTTGATAGCTGGAAATAAATTATTAAAAATATAACATAATATTAAGCGCCACGGAAAATTGCCATCCAATGTTTGATGCGTTAATTTCATGAAACATTTTCGATAAACCACAATGTTTTGAAGCTCAAAATTTCAACGTAAAGCATTAGATGATTCTCTCCCACAAAAGCTTTCATCAACTCGAAAACATTGAAAGCGTCCGAATTTTTGAGTTAATGTTGAGCGCTTGTAGAGTAAACTTCTTCAAACATAAGGTTAAATCCTAATAAATTTATTTCGCTATAATTTTGCAATTACTAAGCATAAATTGAGTTGAATAAGTTGAAATTAAGTTCATATTACTTTTTAAGTTGAAAAATATATTCATTAAGTGTGGTTTTCGAGAAATATTAAACTGTGGAAATTCTCGTGAAAAAAGCTAATGATTTTTTTTCAATGAGGAAAATCAACTCAGAAGAGAACTGTTGTTAGAAAAATGAGAATTACTCTCAAAGTTATGCGAAGGATTAAAACAAGGGGTGATTCATCGAGCGTTTTCACCTTCTGCCTCTAAATGATGCTTTATCAACACTAGTGCTTTTTCAAAAAATTGCAATTTTCCAAGAATTTATTAAGTTTTAATTTTAATTTGCTTAGTGCTTTTTTGTTTTAATGGGGCCAATTTTTTTCGATGAATCACCCCTTGGATAAAAATTAGAAAAAGTTTATTTAAACGTTTATCTAAATACGTACACAAATGTTAAAAAATTTTAGTTTTCTATGTTTACAGTTATTGAAAAGGAATATTAACACTAAATAATTTGTGTAAATATGAGATATTTTTATATTTTCTTATCATAAAGAATCTCTAAAGAATATTTCTATATACCTACATATCTATATATACACTTTATAAGAATTTCGGTCCTCTTTTCATTCATTGATTTTTTGGTTTCTTTCTCTTTTTTGCTATCCAACATTCTCTCATCACGTCATTTTCTTCTTGATTCTTTTTAACATTTATCACAGGGAAATGGAAATAGGGATTGTGAAAAATCTCGTAAGAAATAAATATAACAACGATTACGATGGATGATGAAAGTCTTCACTTAGGAAAATCAATTTAAAATATACAAACAGTGATACTCATCACAAGTATGTAAATAGAGTGGGGAATCTTAAAAGGAAAAATGTAAATTAGTGAAAATCAAATGAAAAGAAAAAGTTAAATCATAAGTAACGAAGTGACAATTGTGAAATTAATAAATTGTGTTTCAAGTGATTTAAATGTATAAATAAACTGCATCTATCATATATTCATTCACTTGTGTGTTAATTCATAAGAGTAGAAAAACATCAGAAAAGAACACTAAGGAAAAAGCAGATATGCTTTATAAACCACTCGCTGGAATAAATAAAAGAAAAAGTAAATAATAAAAATAGTTGAAAACCAAAATGGCGGCTTACGATAATATTCAATGCAATTTAAATTATGAACCTTATGATATTAAGAGCAAAAGTTATAACACTCGTATGACGTGTGCAAACATCAGAATCACACGAAATAATAAGCGGAAAAAAAATAAAAACAACGTTGGGGATATGACAATACAAAAACACCAAAACTTGGAAAGTTTTTTCTTTTCTGAGAAACAATCATCTGCAATCAGATTTAAAGATGTTACAAAAGCACGAAATAAATATTTAGAACATAATATACTAATCACCAATAAATATGATAATAATAGAAACATAAATTTAATCGCTAAAAGCCATAAAAGTGATGAATATAAAAATAATAATACTATAAATAATGATAAAAAACGTTTTAGAGTACCGATCAAAAAATATTTCAATTGCTTTAACAAATCAAAGATATCATCGTTAGCGTTGTTTTTAGTGATTGGATTAGTGTTTAAAACCACTCTGTGCTGTGGTTTTGTGCTTGATGGAACACAAAATTCCTATGCGCAGTTTCGCAAGTGGTACACTGGGTTGAATGGCACGCTTGAATTGGAGTTCAAAACAGAACAACCAAATGGATTGGTTTTGTATACAGATGATGGAGGCACATACGATTTCTTTGAGTTGAAACTAGTGGAAGGAGCTTTAAGATTACGATATAATTTGGGTGGTGGAGCTCAAATAATAACTGTAGGACGTGATTTGCATGACGGGCATTGGCACAAAGTTCAAGTAAGCGTAAATATATTTTTTTCTGGTGGTATGAAAATATTTTTAAACATGGTCATGATACTTATTGATATGCATACTAGGTATTACGTAATGATGAGCATACAACATTGACTGTTGATGGGGTGATGTTGAGTAAAACATCTAGAGGGAAGGAATTTCAATTCGGAAAATTTACCACTAATTCGGACATATTTGTGGGAGGTATGCCGCATTGGTACAATGCAAAGCTAGCCCTTCTTGCTCTACCAAGTGTCATTTTTGAACCACGATTTCGAGGTTCTGTACGGAATCTTGTTTATAGTGATCAACCTGGTGTACTTCCTCGGAGGCAAGAAATGCGTCAACCAAGAGACGTCAAGGTAAGAATTAAATAGTAATTCAATACATATAACTTTGAATTAATATATATTTTTCAAGTGTGGAGATTCGCCATGTGATCTCTCTGACTTACCAAAAGAAAAAGTTACTCGAGTAAGTTTGATGAATTTTAAATTTCATTCTACCATATTTAGTTTATTCCTATAGAGTTTTAAAAGTTTTAAGTAATTTAAATTATTTAAATATGTGTTTGTTTACTCAAATTGATTTCAATGACTTTGATTTTCAAAGAGAAGCTTCAATTACCCAGCTATGTTAAGTAAAATATTTGTTAGTAACACTGACACGATTTCGTTAATACCTGCATAAATAAAATATATTTTATTAGATTTGATGATTTCCAAAACTTATAAGCTTATTATTATCTATAAGGTTTTCGCAGAAATATCTGCTTGAAATCTTCAGTTTCTTTTCCTTGATGCTAAACTTATTTGTAGAGAATGTTTTGATGATAAATAGACTTAAAATAAGAGAAATCAAAAGACTCATTGATGAGTAGATATTTAATTGAAATTCAAGAATAAATTATCATCAAAATATATTTTTCAATTTCATTTTTAATAATGAAATTAATATAATTTCATGCTTTTTAAATGAATGTCAATATTAGGAATTATTATTATTGACTCTTACCGAAAATGTATATTATTTATAAAAAGAACTACGAAACTTTGTTACTATTTAATATAATATGCGCTAACATTTTTATGAAGGGATTACGGACTAACATAACAGATGCTTGTGAACGACACGATCCTTGTCAGCATGGCGGAATTTGCATTTCAACTGATTCTGGACCTTTATGTGAATGCCGAAATGTAGAGTACGAAGGAATATATTGTGAAAGAGGTAAGTCACTTAACTCAAAACAGATGTCTGCAATTCGAATTTTTCTAAAATTTAGATTGAATTCATTGATTCATTCATTTATTTATGTTGTTCTATCATAGATAAAGCACCCAGCGAAGCGACATTTAGAGGGACTGAATTTCTATCCTACGACCTTGGACAAACTGGTGGCGAACCAATAGTCAGCGCGCAAGATGCCATTTCATTATACTTTCGCACGAGACAACCAAATGGGTTGTTATTTTTCACAGGTTTGTTTAATTAATCTCAACATTTATTTTCACATTTAGAAAAAGAAATCGCTCGTTTACTAAGATTTGTCAATGACCAGTAATATTTTTAAAAAATAAATAATAATTTTCTAATTTCGATGCGTTCGTTGTTCTTTTAGGACATGGAACAGATTACTTAAACTTAGCTATTCGTGATGGTGGCGTTTCACTAACGATGGGGCTTGCTAATGGTAAGCAAGAAATGCACATCAAGCCAGCTCGTGTAAGATTTGATGACCATCAATGGCATCGAGTAACAGTTCATAGACGTATCCAGGAGATTTCATCTATGACAAGTTTTTGTCGAGTAAGTTCATACTTATACATAAGGCAGTTTTTCAAATACTTATTTAATATTACTCTTCATAGCTTGTGGTTGTCGTTGATGAGGTTTATACAGATCATTCACATATTGCGGGAAAATTCACAATCTTATCATCTTCTAAAGTTTATGTAGGTGGATCTGTGAATCCACGAGCATTACTTGGCGCGAGAGTTCACAATAATTTTGTTGGATGTTTAAGGAAAGTCGAGTTTTCTGCTGATACACTACGCTTAAATCTTATTGATTTAGCAAGAACGGGCTCGAAATTAATTTCTGTCGTTGGACGTGTTGATTACAATTGTCCATCAGGAGATCCTCAAGATCCAGTAACATTTACTACCCGTGACTCCCATTTGGTGCTTCCACCATGGGAAGTATCAAAGCAAGGTGTTATTTCATTCAAATTTCGTACAAATGAACCGAATGGTTTAATTATTTTGAGTACTGCTACTCGAGCATCAAGGGTGAGATTGACTTTAAAAAAATCTTGAGTCACAGAGTGTTAATTTTTTCCTCTGTAATCACAGTCGGATTTGTTTGCTGTTGAATTATTGAATGGACATATTTACATACACATGGATCTCGGTTCGGGAGCAACAAAGGTTCGAGCATCACGACGCCGTGTTGATGATGGCATTTGGCATGAATTAACAGTACGACGAAGTGGAAGAGATGGTAAGGTCGGAGTAGATGGACAATATAATGAATTTAAGACGCCAGGGGAATCCACTCAACTAGAACTTGATAGTCCATTGTTCATAGGAGGTATTGGACCTCCTTACGCTTCAGTGAATATATCTCCAGCATTATGGACGGGAACGTTAAGACAAGGATATGTTGGATGCCTTAGAGATCTTGTATTGAGTGGAAAACCAGTTGATATAGCAGCTTATGCAAGGCAACAAGACTCTGCTGCAGTGAAGCCATCTTGTCACATTCAAACTGTTCAGTGCAGTCCAAATCCATGTCAAAATGGCGGTGTTTGTTCTGAAGGTTGGAATCGTCCACTTTGTGATTGTTCAGGGACACTATATACGGGACCAACATGCGGAAGAGAGTCAGTAACATTAGGCTTTAATGGATCTCAACATTTAACAATCTGGACTGGTGGAGATCAAGGGTTAAGAACACAAACAGAGGAACTTGTTCTCAGATTCAAAACATCACGTCCGACAGGGCTTCTCATCCTAACAAGTGCTGACACCAACTCACCCGATAGACTTGAAATTGCACTCATTGCTGGTCGCGTAAGGGCAAACGTGAAGTTGGGTGATCGGGAAAAGGTAACCATGATATTTTTCAGTCATATAATTTTAATCAATTTCATGTGTTCATCACAATTTTATGATAAAAGTAAACATATCATAATTTTTTTTTTACTTTAAATTATTACATATTTTTAATTTCTTTTATCGTAGAACTTGTTAGGAGGACAAGGGGTCTTAAATGATAATAACTGGCATACGGTGAGATTTTCACGTAGAGCATCCAATTTGCGTCTACAAGTTGACGGGGCAGCCCCCGTGCGTGGTATGTTATGTATGTATCAACAGCACATATTTTTTGCCCTTTAAGTGTCCATGACCGTTCGTTGAAATATAGAATGAAAAAGAAAGAAAGTTTATAAACCATCAACCTCTCTTATATTTCCTTCGCAAGTTCCTCAACGCGATATTTAGTACTTCATGATAAAATAAAATCAAATGTTACACAAATTCATATGCCTTTGTGCAAACTTCCTTTATGAAGCACGAAATAGAAATAAAGATTTAAGTGTGAAATTTATCGACAAAAGTCTCCTAGAATATTGAGAATTTCTTTTAGACATTGGTAGAAACAATGTTCACTTAATTTCATAGTACTTAAATATTAATGTATGCGCTATTAAAAAATTATTAAAAAACTATTAAAAAATGTTTAAAAAAATGAATATGCTCAATATATCTCTCATGAAACGTATTTCAAGATGATGCTCATTTGATTTAATAATGATAAAAATTATATTATTCAACAAAAAATTAGTAACAATAACCATACTGTTATCTCATGCCAAGTCTGCTTTACATGATGTTTTTGAATCTTCATTTTAATTTATTGAAAATTTTATCGATAATTGAAAATATTTATCTCGTTTATTTTTCAATGTGACACTTCTCAATATTCGAAAATCTATTTCAAAACCCTAAAATTTATGTACAGACTACATAGTTTTTATTTAAACTGTTCATTATCTTTTTAGTACTTATGAAACAAATAATTATTTTATTGTTATGTGTTAAAACATTCGTTTTATCTACTCCTTCAACATACCTAACAAATGTGAATCACATAAAGTTATGTTATGTGATTCATATATTTAATTTAAATCATGTTTTAGTGTGACTTTGGTTTTTAAGTTATAATGTTTTTAGAATTTCTTACACTTTATAGACATTATTGAACAAAGTTGGTGATTAACTTTAGTTTCTCTTCTTAATAATTATCACACGATAAAAGTCATTTTACGGAGGCTTCACCCTCGGGTGACAAGTCAAAGTATTGAATTCGCTCATAAATTTCAACAATGTTTTTTTGATTAATTTTACTTAAATTAAATTAATTTTACTTACATTTGTATGGTCGAGAAAAGTAGAAAATGAAAAAAGTTCTCCGGTTTCGGGTCTGGATGACTGAGTGTTCACAGCTTTTTTCCACATTTCATGACCTATTGGAAAATTTCTTCACAAATGTGTTTCAAATACTATTAGAATTCTTCTATCAAATTATGGCATTCCTACCTTTTATATTTCGGGTACCTGCCATAAAAGGTGGGCCATTTTCCGGGAGAAAAAAAAGTTAAAAGAATAAAATATATAGCGAAGAAAAAAATGATTACCGAAAGTCGGTCATCGTGCAAATCCTGTTTTAAATACTCTGGCATTGATAGAATGTCAAGAACAACAGAATTCGTAATAATTTTGTAATCACTTTCTCTTTGAGATACAAAGTGCGGCACTTATTGAAAAAAGAGAAAGTGAGTGAGAAAATGTTTATGAATGCTGTTGTTCTTGAAATTCTATTAATGTCGGAGGTACATATAAAAATATCGTGCAAAGCCCAACTCTGGTGACCAACTTTTTATGTTTGGTTTTCTTCTACCCATTTGACAAATTCGACAGAACAGTTATATTTCACACACCATACTTAATATTTTTATAAAGAAAAGGAAAGTGGATTCACATTACATTTTTATCTATCGATTTTAAAATTTCGACATGCGAATATAAAAATGAAAAACACTTTTTTAATTAAAATTCCTTAAAGGTTCGTTGGAACTTCCTGTAAATTAAGTACTGATGAAATAATTTATTTGTAAATATTCGCGAATATTATGAAAAAATTATTCAAGATAAATTATTAGTAAATAAGACTTTTGAGAGGAGAATAAAAATTAAATAAAAGTGGTTTTTACCAAAAAAGGCTTAAAGGTAAAATAACAATGAATTGAAGGAATCGAACGTCAGGGCGCTGTTTTTTATTGCACTAAAAGTTTTTTCTTTTGCTAATTTTTATTTTCATTGAACTTAATTTTAAAGGTGAAATGCTTTTTATTTTGTTTTTATTCCCATTTTCTTTTTATTAACTGAATACCAACCTTAGAATTTATAATTTGTAGAAAATTGGAAACGAAAATCTAAGCATAAAAAGAACTAAATAATTGTGGTTATCCCTGTTCACTGATTTAAGTCTTTTTGGATCAAAACCTTTAGAAACTTTTAAACAGAACTATTTTTATCTTACTGGATATATTTGAAAGTTAAAATTTATTTTCTTTAAAATCATAGCCAATGTATGTAAAAAAAATTCTGTTTAAGTATCTAGTTAAATAATTACGTACATCACTGCATGTAAAAAGCATATAAATAGCCTTGTGATGATTATGTTTTTCGATTCGTTAAAAGATAAATTATATTTATTTGAAACTGCTGTAAATTTCATAAAAATTATTCAAAAATCAGACAATTCTTTTATTTTCTTTCACTTAACTTTTAAAATATTAAATTTACCAAGAAATTTACAAAGAAGCAATGTTCAACATTTGGTATCCAAACAATTATATTAATATATATCTTAAACATCTCCTGATCAATTATTTTGATTTAATATGACTTCTTTTATCAAGGGTTAACTGTTCAAAAAAATCATTTTATTATTTAAGAGAAATGAATATTTATAGGATATATAAGCTACATTGGAAGGGGAAGTGGTCAAAAATTAAATATGAATTGAAAAAAAGACCTAGAAACTTTCAATGAAATCTGAAAGCACCCCTCTTTATCGGGTATGAAAGTTTAGATATTTTGATTACAAGTAAAATAGTTTGAGCTTTAAACAACAAAAGCAGACCTCTAAGAAATAAAAAGATGCTTAAGGCTCAAATAAATTTTATATTTAAAGAAAGTCAACAATAATAGCTAAATCGGCAGAAAATTTAAGGATCAGGTGTGAATTGAATATTAGATAAAATATTTATATACAATAATATTTACATCCTTAACCCTTGAATCGACATTAAGAATCACTGTGAATAAACAAGAATTTATTAAGATATTAAACAACGAAAAAAATTTACCAAATTCCGTTCAAAAAAATTCGAGACACGAGACAAACTGATCCCTTTTTCAATCCAAAAGGAGAAGACATTTCACTTTTTATATGAAGTTACTTAATTTTATAAAAATACTTGTTGAACATATTTTGATAGTTAATCTTAGAGATTAAAATCGTAATTTTCAAGTTGATTATAAACTTAAACGTGTAACTTACAACTGAAACGAGTATATCAGTACAAGACACTGAATATTATTTTTTTATTATTCAGGAATTTAAATTTCCTTTTCTCGAAATTCTGTCCTTGTGGAAAATGACATCCTTGTCTATCAGTTTCGTCTACATGTCTCGAAGTAACAAGTCTCTTTTATGTTACATTAACATCAATATTTGCAAGAACCAAAGCGCTTTCATTGTTGCATTGATGTTTGTATTATATGGTACATTGTTTTCACCAGTGCTTTTAATCAATACCACACAATTTTCCCAAGCAATCCTTTTAAGTTTTTATACAAATAAAAACAATCATGTTTACTTATAAAATTTTTACAAATTGTGAAGAAACATAGAGCATGATGAATAAATAATCAAAACTGAAACAAGAAAAATGTTTGCACCTAAGCATAAACTATCTTCACATGAACACAATTAATTGAAAAAAGAAGCACAATTGTTGTATTTAGACGCCTACTTATTTATTATTAAAAAATTTTCTAAATCATAAAACTCCTTTTCTAAATATCTTACACCTGTCTAAAAGCAGAATATTACTAATATTTGTGATGATGTTCAGAATCGATACAATGCAGCTAACCAAAAATATGTTCTTTTCTTGATTTTTCATTTACCCTGGTCTTTTTTTATTATTAAATTATGAGAAAAAACTTATCGACCTTTCCAGACAGGAAATTTTGGGCTTAAAACTTTTTGTTCCATATATTTATATACAAGCAGAGATGGACAAAGAATACTTGCGATAGTGAGTTTCCCCAAGTATTTCGCAACTTTGTACATATTGACTATATAGAACTTTACTGGTTCTATTATTTACAAATTAGGTCTTAATAATGGTAAATATTTACTTTATGAAAAGAAAATAACATATTAAATCTTTTTTGTTGTTTTACTATCTACATTCGAATATGAAATACTTTCATTTAGAAAGAAAAGTCTTTGGATTTGGCATAAAAATTATAAAAATATTAATAACACCTTTTTTGTATTGCCTTTAACTGTCTCAAAAAGTAAAAATTCAGTTTATTCTTGCTATTTGTTTTAATAAATATCTAATTATGAAATATCATGAGATTTTTTTGTTTATGATTTCGATTCTGAATTTTCATATTTTAAAAAAACATGAGAACAAATATGGTTAACGTTTTGAAGAAAACTATATAAAAAAATGAGATTCTATTTAGTTGCATGCGATATTATATTATATTATCACAATAATTGAGCACATCTTGCCTAAAAATTCCGCGCACAGATTCACTTATTCCCCTTTTCCAAATATCTTTTGATCTAAAGACTCTGATATGAAATAAAGTAATTACTTATTCTTGATAAAAGGTTTAGCTTTTCCAAACTCAATTGATAGTTTTTTAGATAATGATAAAATAAGACCTATATAAAGGGACAAACTGGAATATTAATTATTCCATTGTTATTTAATTTCTCTCTTTTGTGATATTAAATAGCCGAAACAATTCTGGGTCGGCATAGTACACTTGAAGTGAGATCTCTCCATCTTGGTGGTCTTTTCCATGCTGAAGAAGAGATACAAATGACGGCAACAATGCCAAATTTTGTTGGGCAATTGCAAGGATTCGTTTATAATGGACATCGGTGAGTTTTCTTTTTTATATAAAGTAAAAATAAATAGCAAATATATATTACTTATCCCAACTTATATTTATTAAACTTCGTAAGTCAAGCTTTATTCTGTTACTGAACTTTGAATTTAATAATTCGTTAAATAAAACAAATTGATGTTTTCCCTACCAACAGATATATTGATGTGGTTCATTCGTTAGGACCAGAACTAAATGGAATTCCACAAACAATGTTTAAGCTCACGGCCCGCTTTATAAATTCACCACCAGGGAATCCTTATCAAGTTGCCACTTTTAAATCTAAACATTCTTATGTCGGTTTGGGAATTTTAAAAGCTTTTGAATCTGTTTACATTGATTTTCGTTTCAAAACTTTGGAACCAAATGGCATTCTTCTATTCAATGGAGGAAGGAAAAATGATTTTATTTGTGTGGAATTAGTTAATGGTCACATTCATTACATCTTTGATATGGGCGACGGTCCAGTTACCATAAAAGATAAGAGCAAAGTCCATATGAATGATAATAGATGGCATTCGGTTAGCATAAGGCGACCTGGACCGAAAGTTCATTCCCTGATGGTTGATGATTCTATCGAGACATACGTAACCACTGGAAATTCAATGCACTTAAAGCTTGATGGAATTTTATACATCGGAGGAGTTTTTAAAGACATGTATTCAGGATTGCCTCATAACGCTATTGCATCACGTGTTGGGTTTGAAGGATGCTTAGCATCGGTCGACTTAGCTGATATTTCACCAAATCTTGTTGAAGATGCTGTTGTTCCCAGCTCTTTGGTTGTTGCCGGTTGTGAAGGTCCAACTAAATGCAGTCAAAATGCATGTGCTAATCGGGGATTATGTGTTCAACAATGGAATACATACGCCTGTGAATGTGATATGACATCATACACAGGACCAACTTGTTATGATGGTAATCAATTTTTTATTTTTTTTTTATATTTCTAAATATATTTTGTGTTGTAATCGTTTAGAATCTATAGCCTATGAATTTGGCGCTGGTCGTGGGCTCATACAATATCAATTTCCAACTGGAAATCAACCGGATACTGAAGAAGACAATATCGCTTTAGGATTTGTTACGTTGAAGCCAGATGCTGTTATAATGAGAATTGAAAGTTCGAATACACAAGATTATTTTGAATTAGAAATTGTAAGCTCCCTCTTAAATTTTCTATAACAATACTGAATCCAACTGACATTCTTCAAATTTCTTTTGATATTCTCAGGTTGAAGGAAATATTTTTGCTGTGTTTAACGTTGGGACAAATGATTTGCCTTTAGGAGATATTGGCGTTAAAGTCAACGATAATAATTATCATATCGTTAGATTTACACGTAGCGCGGGTAACGCTACATTACAAATTGATGATTATAATGTTCAAACTCTACATGCTCAAGGTAAATTTTTTAATTACAATATAGAAAATATTATAAATATGTTTTCCCTAATTACTATGTTTTAAAAAATTTAAGGTCACATATCAACAGTATTTAACTCAATGGGAATTATACAAGTTGGTGGTAAAGTACCAAAAGGTAGCGGACGGTCACGAATTGAACGTCCTTTCACTGGAGTTATTGCGGGATTGTCTGTGACCCGTCTAAGATTGTTGGATTTAGCTGCCGATCGAGACCCACATGTAACAATACGAGGAGATGTTCAATTGGTAACAGGAGTTTTAGATAGAAATGACCTCCAAACACGAATGCAGCAGGTTAGATTTTTAAACGAAAGAAATTAATGTTTTTGAAAGAATATGCAACAATTCAAGCCTGTTAAGAGTTATTTATGAAATTAATAATTTAGAAGATCTGAACTTAGAAATATTTGTTCAGCTTTCTTTTATGCTAGGTAGAATATACCTAATACATTTCTACTAAACATTCGGTCTTGTTGCTTTCTAAGTGTGTTGAGAAAAAGTTCCTTATTTTCATTCTCAAAATTTATTTCAAAACAATTTTTAAATAGATGTTTATTGCATACTATCTGATTACAAACATAGTAACATTTATTTTCTATTGCCATATTTTTCAAGTCGTTTCTTGACAACAAACTAATATGGCGGTATGCAAGTGTAACCTTCCATAGCGTGGTTATACACAAATTGATTATTTTGATTCATTAAAAGTTAGAAAAGTAAAGTTCTCAACCTACTCTTAATGAAAAAAATTAACTTTCTCCTTTTACGAGATTTCAAGGATTAATTTTATATGGAATTTGTACATAAACAATAAACAAATATCTATTTCCAAATAGTGTGATTAATTTTACACAAAATTTGTACAAAATTACAAAAAAGAATTGCTTTTAATGTTGCTGTCAAATTTCTTGTAAAGAGGTATTACTTTCATGAGTAGATATTTAAATAATACTTAGAAAGTTTCATATTTCTCTATAAGAATAAATTGGTCAGTATCGACGATTATGAAAATTATTTGCATGAGTGTAATAATTTTTTTCTTTATAAATTATGAACCAGCTGCAATCAAAGTTTCCCGTTTCTCTTAAAATAACAAATAAAAACAGTTATATCTCACTTTATTCTAATTTTTTTTCTATGACTTTTAATTTTTAATTTCACACTTATTTCAATATATTTCTCACATTTTATGCACAATATGTTGCTATGTCACTGTTTTCAAATGCAAACTCAGTAAATTTTGTGCAAAGTTAAATTACATTCATTATACGTTGCTCACGTGACGGTCACAAAATCCAAAGCTGGATGTAATGAACCAACTCCTGAAATCAATCGCACTTTAGAATAGAGCTTACCAGGTACTATTTTAAAGTGCAATTAATTTCAGGAAAAGCTTAAGTGACCGTCATGTGAGCAACGTAAAATACTAAATTTTGGTAATAAATTTTTAATTAGGTATATTACAGCTTTCCCATTTGTTCTTCATTAAAAATTTTATTGCTAAAACTACAAAAACAATTCTAAAGTAAATAATATTTAATATCAAAAATTATAAACATCTTGTAAGAGAATGCGAAAGAAAACATTTTAATAAATATGCGTAATATAAAATTTGCTTGCATTGTATGAGAAGTCACCAAACTTTTATTTTAATTATTTTTAAAAGCACTTTTTGCAAATATTGGAACCAAAATTAGCTGATTGTATTTGAATATCTATTTATAAAAAAACTATACACATTTTTTTGAATTTTTGTCATAGTTGTATCTAATCACAATATTTTCATTAAAAATTTATGTTCACATTTTCACATTCACTAAACAACAGTTGAAAACATTCCAATTTTTTATCAATACAAAAGAAATACAACAAATGTTTTTATTAAATGTTAGTCTTCATTTTTATTTAAACTTCAGACACCAGCTAGCGGATATCCAGGTGTAATGGATGATTTAATATTTTCTGGGGCTGGATCCGGATGTCGTGGTGATGATGAAGATGAGTGTATGCCTCCGTTTGAAAATGGAAGTGGTGATGACTTGATTACACCTGTTTATGTTCCACCTACAAAACATACTATTAGCTTTACAAAGCCAAAGAATAAAGAGAATGAAAAATTGTGTGATGATGAAGATTGTTTGCATGGTTCCGGATCAGGTGAAATCACTGAAACTACAGTCTCTTCCTCTGGAAAAACAGATATAAAAGGTAAACTATTGATTTTAAACATTTTATTTAAGCTCATATGAATTATTGAAAATGTTTATTACATTTAGATACAAGTCCCGATTTTACGATGTTTACAACAACTGAAGATCGTCAACCTGACACAACGATTCATGAAATATCAACAAAAGATCAAGATGCAATACTAGTATCAAGTAGAACTACTGCTCAACAAGAAACTGCATATCAGAACTCATATGGAACAAGCACAACTGATATTGGAAGTAGTTCAAGTTCAATTTCAAGTCCCATGGTGACAAACGTTGTAACAAGCAGTAGTTTTAGCAGCAGCAGCAGCAGTAGTAGTAGTAGTAGCAGTAGTATCGGCACTACATCAACAAGTACAGGAATTACAACTTCAACTCGAGGCACAACTTTATACGTTCCAATTCAACCTGACACAACAATTCCATACATAATAAAAGAAACCATTCCGCCAGAACAGAGTACAACTGATCATGATGTTGACAACGATGTTTACCATCCTGACCCACACCCTGATGATTATTATGATCCAGGGAATCATCAGCCGGAACCTCCGATGCCAGAACCAGAAACTGAACCGCCTTTAGTATTTAGGACACCACCTCCATTCATCAATTCTAATCCAGGTGTATATAATAATAATCCTACACGCCTCACACCTAAAAAGAAACACGAACGCATAAACACTGAAGCTGAAGAAAGAACAGCAATGATAATAGGAATAGTTGCTGGTGCATTGATTGCAGTGATTCTTGTAATCCTTCTTGTGTTATGGATTAAATCAAATGGAGATAGATCGTATAAAATGGAGCATGATCTAAAATATGGGCATGGTGTGAATGCTGCTTTATTGGGACATAATGTTGGTCATTCTAATAGTCAACATCATGGGGCTGCTGGACATCATCAAGGTGGTAGAAGTGGAGAAACTCATCATCAAGATGGACAATATAACAATAACAATCTTCAGCACCACCAACAACATCAATCACAGTTCGGTAGCCAATACAATCAAGGCAGTAACCAAGGCTATGATTCTCATGGCAATGGTCATCATAGCTCACAGATGGGTAATATTGGATCGCTACGACAACATGGAAGTCTCCATGCAGATCGTAATGGAATGAGTGTAGGTCTCGTTCAACCGAAAGCAAAGAGAAATTCAAAAGATATTAAAGAGTGGTACGTGTAAATCATAAAGAAGCTGTGGATATTTAGAATGTAATTATGTAATAGTGACTTAAGTATAAATAGACTTGCTACGAAATATTAATAGACACATCTCATTCATATATTAATATTATATTAAATAATTGATACCGGCTGAGAAATAAGGTAACACAACAACGGCGAATCTTTTACAGAAAGTTAAAAAATTACTATTACAAAATGATAAATGAATGATTTTATTGCCTCATTTGATAAAATTATTTAAGAAAAAAAAACCATGCAAGATGAAAACTTTAAAACAGTTATAGGCAAAATATAAATATGAAAAGTTTATTTATTTCATTAAATTTTCTCCGTGTAAATATTTATAATATCTAATCCTTACGAAAAAATCCGTTTCCATGATTGATATAATCTAAAGAAAAACTATATTGACTTTTGTTTTGAACTCATAAATTTAAACTTCAATTTCTGTATCTGGATATAAAATTACAATTCAATCCTTCCCTCAGTGTTAATAACAGTATAAAAATTTATAGCACAAATTAGATAATCAAATTTGTTCTTTCCAACATGCTTTTAAGTTTTAAAGTTCATTACTACCTATTTGTTTAAAGTTCATTGCACAGATGAAGCAACTTAGTATACCACGCAGTTAAACCAGACTGATTCATATAATTGTTATTCAAGTTCACTTTGCATAAACTTTATAGTAGAAGGACATTTAATACTAATTACAATACATTTAATACAAAATACTACATATTTGCTTCACATCATGAGAACTTCTAATGCTACTTAACTAATTAAGTAGATTTAATAGCACTTCAAACTTGAATGATTTTTTAGAAACTAATGCATAAGAATCTAATAAAATTCGCTTCCAAAGGTACAGACAGATTCTTGGTTATTCTTTTCCTAAAGATCGCGTCTACATCATATTCTAATGATAACGAGGAAGTTTGAAAAATTTCAGATCCAAAACTCAGATCCATTTGTGATCGAGAAAAATTCGGTGAATATAAATTAAAACTTAGTTTTATTGTTGTAATATTTATCTATTAAGGAATAAAAAAGTTATAAAATTTAAGCGAATAGGTTTGATGTGTATTAGAAGTACATGAACCAGTGATGAAATATTGGATTTATATTATGTAAAGAAATGACAATTGGAGCACACAAATTAATACATACCTATGTACGATATTGATGATAAGATAGAAACGTTAAAAATAAAAAAAGATAATATTATTTAAAATCCTCAACTTTTTAATTGTTCTAAAGCAAATATCAGTGTTAACTTTAAAATCAAAGATTTCGGAAATATTGAATACTTTCTTTTACATATTCAGTAACTATATCTATGTATCTATTATAATTTTGTATTTAACAAGTTTCTCATGATTAGTAAACGGATCACGAAAGCATTCAGTTTTTTAAATGAAATGTTTGAATTTGTTTGTGAATATAATTCAGAAATATCATTGTGTCTACTTTCTATTTTATTTCTTTTTATAACTCAAGTTTAATTTGGGAACTGAATCAGAAGAATATTATCTAAGGTCTTTAATTTTCAAAAAAGAAATTCATAGTATTTCATATTTTTTAAATCTTAATCTGGTACATACAAACTTTGATCTACTAAATCCTTATCGTAATACCTAATTAATGAAGAAAACATATCAATTTCAAAAAAAACCGAAATTTTTTTATGAATCAACTATGAAAGCTTGGATCAAATAATTTGATTCAAATTATGTATTTTCTATTTACTGTATTTAGTTCAGCTGCTGGATTTTTAGATAGCTCATGAAAATTTATTACTAACAATGACAATTTTTTTATTAACCCTGTTATCTATTGTTACTATTGTTGTAAAATATTCATTAGTAAATTATATGATAATGTTTTGTTGAAAAAATTTGTATTTTATTTTCTCTGTTGTGTATAGAAAATTTCATTTTATTGAAGTTTTGAACATTCTTAAAGTATCTGCTTTTGATAATCTTCTGATAATCTAATATGTATATTGATAAGTGTTATTAAACTTTGTCGCATCGAACAGAAACGTTATCTTACTTCAAATCTATACATAATAAAAAGAAATAGGTACATAAATATAAGATGTTGAATTGTGACTAAATTTAAACTCACCAAAATTGCTTGAAGACGTTTTATTGGCTTATGAAATATTTCTGCATATCCCGATTTGACTAAAACATCAGTAATAACCGATCCCTCCTTGACATCATCCACCAATGTTAATTCAAAAATAGAGCCATCATAATTATTAATCAACGCAAATACTGTTTTAGATTTGATTTTTTCTCTAAAGAAAGATATGGCTTGTGAAGTCCATACACTGCCATGTTTAGGCTTCACACGAAACATGGAGCCTTTGCATGATTTTTGAGATGAAGTTGAAAATTTTTTATGAAGATGGCGTAAATCCTTGATTTCAACACTCTTTGTAATTCCAATATCAACTAATCGAGCCATCACTGTTTCTTTTAAAAGGGATACTACAAGAATCTCAACACGATACCATGTTCCGTCAATTATAGCTGCTGCAAACATTTCCGGAAGTACTTTCATTATATGAAGTTCTTTGTCATTTTTCATATTGTTGTAATGAATGCTAGAAAGTATTAATTTTTTTAAAAACAATTTGCATAATAAAGCGACATAAAACAAAACTTACTTCATTTCTGTCATCATATTTTGATATTCTTTTGAATTCAATTGAAAGACAAAGGATGAAGGAGAGTCGATTACGGTTAAGCAAATTGATATCAAAAGACTGTAATTCAACTTTTTAACAAGCGGTTGAGGAATTTTAGTGAAATCGGTAATGTAGTCCGCAATATTGGATTGATATTCATTAAGAGAAAAACTTCTAATTTGAAACAAAACTTCATGTGAATTCGTTAACGAGTTTGAATTACAAAGAGCTGTATGTGATGATTGATTTGATGTATTACTTTGAATTTTTTCTGTGCACTTTTCAAGTTTGTCATCTTCTTGAGATCCAATTAAATAATTTTGATTAATTTTGTTAGTAACGGTTTCATTTTTCTGATTTAAAGGTGATTCATACTGAGTTCCAATATTTTCGAAAGTTTCTTCGAGATCACTCCAGTCATCACTAATATCAAGATTTTCACGTTTGTGAGAAATTATTTGGCCCTTAAGGTTTTCAGAAGTCTTAGCGTCATTTTTAAATTTATAAGAACAATCAACCTTTTCCTTATGATACACATCATTTGATATGGTTGAATACATTGGAGTAGGAATATTTTCCGGCATAACTTTGGTTCTGTTAGCAAACATTCCATCAGTAAATCGAACATTTTGATTAGGCTTAAATAGTGTGTTAGATGAATAAGATGGCATGGTTATATTTTTTTGTTGTGTTATAGTTTTGCTCGTTCTGATGTCTTTATGATTTAAATGTTTTGGAAATGCTCTTGAAAGATTTTCGAGATTATTATGATACGTAGAAGTAAATCGAGGTGGTTGAGGAAATATATTCTGTCTGTAAAAGAGTATTAATTTTAAGAAAAAAAAAGAAGTGAATTCGTTCAATTTAAGGCCATTTATACCTGTAGTGACGGATGAAAGGTCTAGCTCTTCTAGAAGATCCTCTTCTTTTATGTCCATGAATAGTCAAAGAGTCCATGTGGCTTGTTTCCTCTGAAGAAACTCGTTGAATCACGACTTCGTGATTATTCATCCATACACGACAAATATCAGGCATCAATCGCATAAATTCCATGAAATTCATTGAGACAGATCTTAGTACTGTATTAAATGATTCACCTTCAAGATTAAAATATTCAGATCGGAACTGTCTTTCTGTTGTTATTCGACCTAATGCAAGCAAGATCGAACGTATAGTTGGCTTAATGTCTTGGAATATGCCTTCCATTTTCAAGGTTAAACTTGGTAATATGTGTTTATTGTTATTTGAGGAGTATTTTAAATGTGATTTCAATTTTGGACTACCTAGAGCTAAGATAATTGGAGTTAAGGGCGATGAAACTACAGACAAAAAGCCCTGGAGATTTAAATAAAAAGAGTATACTACAACGATAACACTACTGTTATTTAGATGCCATATGTATTAAAATCGTTGATGATAAAAACTTGCTGCACTTCTTTATCTCTTGATACAAATATGGAAAGATGGAATTAAGATGAGAACATAAATTGGATTTTCTTTACTATAAGCTTCGAACACATAACAGTTTCTGTTAATATTTATGATTTTCTAGGTTTCTGCTTGGAATAAATTTCCATTAAGCATAAAACTGACTAATTAGAAATATTCTTCATATCTACGCACTGAAATATTATTGTTTGTTGATAAGTGTTAATGATTACTAGATTAGATATTTTCTTTTTTTTTATTTCTTATACATATATCATTCATGTCTAATATGATGAAAATGTTCATACACAAAATCATACATTTACAAAAAAGAAAAGAAATAATATTATCTTTTTAACTTCAAATCGGGTTCGCTGATGAATGTATTACTCATTATTCAATTATACTGAAAAATAAAACATATTATCTAGATGTTTTTGATATTTTTTTAAAAGAAAACTTACACACTATTGCTGATATCATCAAACTTCAATGTTAAAGGTTGAAACTTATGTTTGTTTGTTTCTTTAGCTTTGAAATTTTCATCGTTCTGATGAATATTTACATGTGATGTCCGTGGAATCAGGGTTTGTTTTGGATTTTCTTGAGTTTTGTCTGGGTTTTGTGATTTTAGAATATTTACTTCTTTTTTTAACTTATCTATGGCCAAATCCTTTGATTTTATCTGCTCTTTTGTAATTGAATCAGATGATTCTGTTTTACTGGAGCAAATACTTTGGTGGAGTTTAACAGCCTGAGCAAGAGAATCGATCTTCTTTAAAAGTATTTCATTCTGAATATCAAAATCACGTTTGATTCTAATTAATGCCTCATTTGTATTATGTTGTGCCTCCTCTTGTTTCTTGGCTTGATTTTCTAAAGAAATCTTTACATCCGATATCCTAGTCAGTACTAGTTTTTCGTTGAAATCTGAATTTTCACAGCCTAAATATACTTGAAGTATTTCACTTTCATCAGAAAATTTTCGGCACTGAGGACAACTTTTGTTTCTGAATGTTTAGCAATAAAAAATAAAACACATAAGTAAAAAAAAAGCTAAAAAGTGATTAATAATATCTACCTTGCGAACCAATCTCTTAAACACTTTTCATGAAACAAATGACCACAACGAGTCGTAAATATCGCTATATTAATTTGATTCATTTTATTAAAGCAAACTGAACAATCCATCACTCTACTTTGATGTTCTTAAATATTTAACAAAAATTTAGTTCCTCAAAAATCTACTTATAGCGATGGATAAATAAACTTTTTTTCAAGTTTCTTTTTCGATAACTCATAAATGTTAGATTTCGACAATAATACGAGATGTATTTACTAAAATTACTCCCGATTTTTTTTGACGATCAGGGATATCTTTGATTCGTAAGATGCCTGTGAGGTAAAATAACAAGTTTCTCCGTACTTTTGAGGTAGTAGGTAGTTTGACCCTCTGTATTTACCTAGTATAAGGGGTATACAAGGCATCCAAAAATGATTTTCTGATTTTGTGTACCCTCCTTTAAACTCACATGTTGTGTACAATTTCGATAAACATACCTAAATAGCAAAGAAATATTTTCAGAAAGTGAAGTCTTAATTTAGCTAACACAAAGAATGAAAAATAAAGAAAAAATATTATTGCACAAAATTGCAAAACGTGAAAAAACAAAAAAAATGCTTATAAAGAAGAAATCAATGAATAAATCAAATGAATATTCTGGTAAGCTTTCTGGATTAACCTCGTGGGAATTTTTAAATTTTGCTAAGATTATTTATATACTTTTAAATATTCTTCATTACAAACTTTATTCACATTATGCATTTTATAAATAAAACACACATTTCAGATGATAATACTTCTGAAACGGTAAAAGTTATTAAAAAAAATGCTCTTCCTAAGCATTCGATGAAGAGCACTCTTGAAGATATCGTTGGTTTTGAACATCATTCAGACGTCGAATTAATGGATACTGCACCAAATGAAGAGGATTGTAAGTGTTACATTTTTATAAAATAAAATTGTTGAATTCTATCATTACTTATTGTAGTACCTGGAAGTTCTACTACTCTTGAAACTGTATTAGGAGATTACGCTTTTGATAATCTCCAACTTAAAGTGACAAAATCTACTCTTGATGCTATAAAGGAAATGGGATTTACAAAAATGACTGAAATTCAAGCAAAATCTATTCCTCCATTACTTGAAGGACGAGATTTAGTGGGTTCAGCACGTACAGGTAGCGGAAAAACTCTTGCTTTTCTTATACCTGTAGTGGAACTCATTCATAAGCTAAAATTCATGCCAAGGAATGGTACTGGAGCCATTATCATATCACCAACAAGAGAGTTGTCTATGCAGACTTTTGGAGTTTTGAAAGAATTAATGGATGGTCATCATCGCCAAACTTATGGTCTTTTAATGGGAGGAGCAAATCGTCAGATAGAAAGTGAAAAATTGGCTAAAGGTCTAAATATAGTTGTTGCAACTCCTGGAAGATTGTTAGACCATTTGCAGAATTCCCATGATTTCTTATACAAAAATCTTCAGATTCTTGTTATTGATGAAGTTGATCGTATTCTTGAAATTGGTTTTGAAGAAGACATGAAACAAATAATTAATTTACTTCCAAAACGTCGTCAAACAATGCTTTTTTCAGCAACACAGACTGAAAAAACAGAAGCACTCAGTAAGTTAGCGTTGAAGAAAGAACCAATTTATGTTGGTGTTGATGATCACAAGGAGGAAGCAACAGTTGATGGCCTTGAACAAGGTTACATCGTGTGTCCATCCGAAAAACGTCTTCTTGTGCTTTTTACGTTCTTAAAGAAAAACCGTAAAAAGAAAGTAATGGTTTTCTTCTCATCGTGTTTATCTGTGAAATTTCATCATGAGCTATTTAATTATATTGATCTACCTGTTACATCTATCCATGGAAAGCAGAAACAAGCGAAAAGAACGACAACATTTTTTCAATTTTGCAATGCAGAGTCAGGTATTCTTCTTTGTACTGATGTTGCAGCAAGAGGACTTGACATTCCGTCAGTAGATTGGATAGTGCAATATGATCCACCAGATGATCCTAAAGAATATATTCATAGAGTTGGTAGAACAGCTCGCGGTGAAGGAAGCTCAGGACATGCTTTGATGATTCTCCGCCCCGAAGAACTTGGATTTTTACGTTATCTTAAACAAGCAAAAGTATCACTAAATGAATTTGAGTTTTCCTGGACTAAAATTGCCGATATTCAACTTCAGGTAAAATGAAATATTTCTTAATTTTAAGATCTCTGAATGACTTTTTTTTATATTATAGCTAGAGAATTTGATGTCAAAAAATTATTATCTAAATCAATCAGGAAAAGAAGCTTTTAAATCCTTTATTCGAGCATATGATTCGCATCAACTTAAAACCATTTTTATCCTTTCATCATTGGACTTACAAAAAGTTGCGAAAAGTTTTGGCTTTCTTCAACCACCAGCAGTTGATTTGAGTAAGTTTAATTAGTTATGATTATATCAGAGCTTTTAATACTTTGAATTTTTTTAGAATTGTCTCACAAATTCAAAAAAACTGAGAGACGTCCAGGTAATCGAGGCAATGGATATTTTCTTAGCATAAATAAGGAAAAAGAAAGCAAGAAACATTTTAAGCACATCAAAGATCGAAAAATGCTTGGAAAGGCTGCTGATGAAGCAATTTAGGATATAGAATTTAACTTAATATCTACCGATACCTATTCGCTTGGATTGAGATTTAAAACTATACCGATAATAAAACTAAATTGATTTCTTTTTATTAATTATGGTATTTAAACAGCTGTAATATGTATGTAAATCTGTGGGGGATAGAGAAATTTACATATTTATTTGAAAAGATTTCAAATCAAAAGTTAAATAAGAATCTTTTTGTTTTTGTAATACATACTACATTAAACTACCTTAAAAGGACAGAAAAAGTTTTCTGAACTCTTAAGCTAATATAAAATGATCAAACACTTCAGATACACTCAACAGACCAAATAAATTGTCGACATATGAGAAATAAAAGCAGAAGATCTATTTTTGGGAATGTCAAAATGGCCTTTACTCACTTATATTAAGGATGTTGCTCATTTCTGCAGTTTTGTTGAGTTTTTTTTTTTGCAATTTTTATGATATGGTTATTGTAGGAATTCCATAGATTATTTTTTAAAAAAAAAATCTAAATAAGATAAGAAAGATTAGAATTAAGTTGAAGTCAAAATTTATTTTTAATATTTTATCAAATGTCTATTTGGATAAATGATCTTAATATGTTTTATTATCTACTAATAGGTTAAAAAAATAAAATAATAATAAACATATGTTTTAGATATATATCTGTAATATGCCATCAATGATTTTGGATTTAATATCGATTATAATTCTACGCACAGACTACTTTTAAGTTACATTTTTTTAGTTTTCTGTTATCATGGGATGATCTTGTTCAATAGAAACCAGAATATTTGTTAGAAGCTGTCAAATTAATTTAGATTTTCAAATCATATGCAAGACAAAAAGTAGATGAAAAATGACAAAATGGATGTTGTGATTATTTTATACTTTAAAAAAACGTAGGTGGTTGTCACATGTAAATACAAACGTCAAGGTTCATTTCCATTCTTTAACAATATGCTTTCGAAAAGTTAAAGTTATTTATTCACAAGCTTTCAGGCACATGGTAATGGAATTGTATCTTTTCAATGGTTTTTGGAAAAATATTTGATATCAAAAGTTACTTTCCAGTGCAAGTAGAAAAGAATTGTTTTTCACAATTTGTATATCATGTCTAAAGTCTAAAACAATTGATCTGCCTGTGAAAATTTAATCGCCAAAACTCATTTTATATTTGTTTTATAAGTAAATGAATACAACCTATGTATTGAAAAACTCTATGAATTTCGATATTAGGTCTTCGTAAAAGGAAAAAAATTATTGAAGAATTGAGCATATAAGAAAATACATTTCTCCTTTTCTTTGAAAGATGTGAAAACAGTCCAGATCTATTATACATATTTTGCTTTTATGCACTAGCCACATGCAATAAAAAGTCCATAGAATTTTAAGAGAATCAAAGAACTGGAGGGCTTAAATTGAAATTATGCTCAACATGTTCATTATTTACATATATCTAAATGTAATCTTTTCTTCTAGTTATCTATTTGTTTTCGATATCAAATTGAAAGCAAAATTTTACAGTTGAATAAAATATTTATAAATAAAATTTTCAGAATATAAATTATAATTAGAAACAAAAAAACATAATATAATGCAACTGAATTGTTTGAAACTTAAGGATTACTGAAAAATCCAAAACTATGAGTTTTGGGTATCAATTATTAAATATTTCCACTGATCAACAAAATTGCATAAATAGGTATATACCTAATCCATGTCAATAATGTTCTTATGATCACACGAAATAGTTTTTCTACAGACACCAACAAGCACGTCCCCTGATGTATTCACTTACCAACACTCATACACATCTGTGTGGGTGATGTTAATTCACAAGTAATACAATAAGCTGAATCTCTGAGTTTTTCTCTTGTTCATTCAGTTTTCAAACTTATTAGAGATCAGTTCGAATTGCATACCTCCACTAAAATATAGTAAAAATAACATACAGAGCTTATAATTCACTATTTTGTTGTCAATAGTAATAGTTTCGCACTCATAAAGTTAGTTTTAAATTCCTTTACATAATTTTCAAAATTTCAAATTTTTTTTGAAAAGTGAAATGTGGAAATTTTGTTCATAAGAAAAGAAAAACTCGAAAAATTAACTGCAAAGTAACATTAAATACTCTTTGTTCTTCAATTTTTAATGCATTTTTTGTAATATTCATAAAATAAGTCTATTGAAGTCTTCTGAAAATTTAAAGGGCTTCTGATAAAATATATTTTGTGTTAAAATTAAAAAAATACATATAGGAAAAAAAGAAATCACTATGATGATGATGACAAATCAAATCCTCCAATCGGACAATCCTCAGCAGATGCAGTCGCCACAGTCAATTGCTGACTATTTGGCACAGTTGCTTAAAGATCGTAAACAGTTGGCTGCTTTGCCGAATGTATTTACCCATCTTGAGCGTCTTCTGGATGAAGGTAAGCCAAAATCTGAAATAAAATTTTGTATTTTATATGCAAGAAGTGAAGAACAAAATGGGCTTAAAAAAGTGCCAAAAATAAAAGAAATCATTGCGTCTGGCCCAAAATTTCGAAAGTCTGCGATCTGTCAAAAACAGAACAAATACACTTCAAACGTTAATTAGTTTCAAATGTCCGCTGGTTTGTAAAACTTAGAAGGGAGTTTAATCTGCAGTCTTTAGAAAAACGTTTTCCATTTTGTTTTCATCTATAAATAAAATAAGAGAATAGGAGTCATCGTCATGATGATCATCATGTTACTTCGTATTCAAGAGAGTCGATCAAAAGAAAAAGCGTTGACTTGTTGGTGTAGTGGGTATGTACTGAACTTATCGTATCAACAGGTTCACATGCATGAATGTGTAAATTCCTGTGTGTTTGTAATGTAGAAATGTTTATTTTTAGACTTGAAACTTTCAACTTTTTTTCTCATTGGCTTTCTTTCGAGTCTGTTTTTTAAAAAAGTCAATTAGAATGATCATAGAACAATATTACACGTTTTTCCTATCATCAATCGATTTTTTGTTATGATCATTATAAGGTAATCGAAAACGTAATATTGAATTTAAATAACTAAGTAAAATAGAATACTCAACAAATTCTGACGAAATTTCCTCTCTTAACTCTCTGAAAAAATATGGGCTTGTGTGTGAAATATAAATAAAAAATTACTTAATGTTCCAAGTAATGTGCGGAGGAAAAAACCAAAGTGGGAGCTAACAAATGGGAACATAAGTTGATAAAATGAATGAAATTAGCTAAAATTGGGTGAATGAATTACAAAAAAGATAAGTAAGGGTTGAAAATAAGTAGTTTACGCACTTAAAAATAAGGTTTAATACATAGTAGCTTCAGGGATATGTTTTTAAACATTATGTTATTGAAAGTTAAGATCATACTATAATGAGATAATATGTACATGTTTTTTCTTTTATATTTGTATTTTCTTTCAATTTTTTTCTGCAAATATTTGTCACCTTCTGCTTTTTGTTTTTTTCTGCTTTTCTCGTTTTTAACTCCAATCTCAGAAATAACACAC